CACTGATATCGATGCTGGGCAGCTAAGAACCAATTCATCGTTGGGTTCAAGGGCTACGCCTTAGTACTTACAAGTCGCTGAGCACATATCATGCGACCGCTTGATGTTCTGCATGCATGTTGTTGTGTCCAGGCACCAGATGATGGGTTGATGTCTGAGGATGCATGCACGCGCGCAAGCTGAACAGGCAACTTGGGCATTGGATGCCAGCAACAAGGCCTAATAAGCGATGGGCGAACGACTTTTCTTTGCATGGCAGGCAGGATAGATTCCTGGAGCATTCGATCCTTTCCGATGTTGCGTAGCTCCGGACACTCAAATGCCTAGTTGGCACTTGATCAATCACGAGCACAATGTCACCCACATCTGCTCCAGTAATATGAGAACGCGCCGTTGAAGACTGGCCTGCATTTTCACTTGGGGTCACCAATCTGAAGTGGGGAAGTTGGGCGATGTTAGAGATGGCGTTACACGAAAACCGTTGTTGTTAGTGTGAGTCTACATGATGCAACAGCAGTATCGAGCTGGACCCGCAGGCCACTCAGGTCGAATATGGTCCTCAGCATCATTGCCAATGACCAAATTCATTCCTGCTATGCCCGATGAGCTGAGTGTTGCGATTTTGCAGGTCATCATAGGTCCTCATCCTATAGTGAGGCTTAGATTTCGAGCCCTTCTGAGAGTGCCACGTTGTGTCCCTCCCGCAGCCAGATAACTTCTAGCAAGGATGGGTTTCCACCTCGATGGACGTCGTGAACTTGTGACCGCCACAAGGCCTCCACCTCGATGAAGAATTTTTCCCTTTCTTACTTCCATCTGCAGGCGATTACAATATCAAGCTGTCTCTATTGGGCTAAATTGTCGTCCCTCTAGACTCAAATCACCGCTGCCAACTCTTTTATATTCTTAAGCTACAGGGATGGTGTGGAGACAAGAACTAGATCTACAGTCCAGGATCTTGAGAGGGCATGCTATAGTTACATGCCAGCCATTTCTCAGTATCAGGAACAACGAAGCAGTTGGGTTCGTGTTCTGCCTTCAAGCGACTAGATATGACGATGACTAGCATGAAGTGCCAGTGTCTAAAACACAACCGAGCCAAGATATTGTCTAATTGGGACAAATCCTCAGGGCAAAGTAAATGATGGAGCCACATTTGGGCAGCTGATCTACCTAGGTACTTCACATTATTGTCAATGTCCGAACAAAGCAAATCTTTTCTAATCATTTTTGCTTATCCTCCTATCCATTCGAGGTTCCGCACTTTTCCTTCGGAGTGAAGAGCCTTTGGAAAGAAAGAGGAAAACATTGGTATTTGGTGGAGGTCCAGCAGCGCTAGTTTCCCCAATTTCTTCCATACACATTTGGAGAATGATAGATGTGGCATTGCGGGTGCCGTTCGAACAGGCCCCTGAAGCCCACTTCCCACGGCGAACCAAGGCCGAGCCCTATGTCAAGTGAGCTGCGGCGCATGTGTATGTCGTTCCTCCAGCCATTAACCATCCCGTCGGTGGGCTAGCTTACTGCCAAGGCTGGAATGACTGGATGTCTCGAAGGGTCTCTCTCACAGCACGCTGCTAGTGTTCCTGCGGGGACTGGACACGGAAACGGAGTCGGTAAACAGATCCACGAACGGGGATATCCTGGATCGTAGATTCGTCTAGTTTGACCACTAGATTGCTAAAGTCTGAGACCCGATACTCATCGATGACGGCAAAAGGATAAACTAACTAGGTTTGTCCGTTTGTGCCTGACATATCAAGCACACGATTATGGAAGAATGCGACGAGAAGAAGTTGAACAATACCCACGTCCTCTGCGCGCGTCATTTCCTTCGCTTGACTGACAAAATCGAGCGTGCGGAGATTCAATGATTGGATACCCGGTCTAGCTGATGATGGACATAATAGACAGGCGAAATTCGCTACAGTATGCACACTCCTCGGTGGACAAATAAGAAGATTGGCCATGTTTGATGACTATAATAGGTACCAGGCAATGTTGTTTCAAGACATATCTTGAATTGGAAGCAGAGCCAGACGCCAGGCAAAATACAGTGAACAGTTCCTCTAGAAGCCATGCCTTCTAAATCAACCCCCACTCCAACAACTAACATGATTCTTGTGTTTTTAGCGGTGAGCCGCCCACCACGTACCATAGATATACTCAAAGTTTCGAGATTAAGCCTTGGGCAAGATCTGTCCTTGACGTCAGAACGCCGCTCAGAATACATCAAGCCTGAGACCTGAACAGAATGCGCATGAGTGGATTTGGCAAACTCACTTCACCAGCCCTTGGGCACATTGGCTTACCGCCTAAACACCTTCAAGTGCGATTAGCTACTTGTCTAGCTTGCATCTACTCATCAAGGGACATTAACAGAGGCCTCTCGTAACAATGCCCGGACCAGTCTGAGTAGGGCAAACTGGCAAATGGGTGACGAAATCGAGAGTGCTGCAAAATACCTACTTGCAGGAGCAAGAATCCCGATTTAACCAGTAGGTCAGAGAGGCTTTGCTGCGAACCCTTGGTGGGTGGTATGTGACGTGTCATGAGTGGCATGGAATAGACGTCAGGGTCAAGCGTTTCATCCCGCCAAACCCCCAGCTGTTTGTCACGGCTTCTTGCATACGAAGTCTGGCACAAATCAGATCCTAGCGCATGCCGTGGAGTGAGTCGCCCTAGTATAGGTAAGCTTGTTGCCATTTGCTCCAACAAGGCACTGTCAGCCCTACACTGTGGTTCTTGTTAGTGGAAGGTCTGACATACAAGACGGCATTGTTGGTAAGTGACGAAGCGTATGTATGTTATCTGGCTTACAGATGTATGCTTAAACAGCAGAAACTGCAGGAAGCCGAAATGGCCATGAGCTTCGCGCTCGGACCTCGATTGCAGCGAACGAGCATTATTCCCAGGGTTGTTGGGGCGCAGCGAGTGCTGAGTTGTCCCATCACCAACCACTCGATGGCAGTACGGTTCCCGTCATCATCAATGCATCTAGGCTTCAAGTACTATCATGTGCCAGGGAAGCTGTATCAAACGGGTTGGAGGGTAGACCAGGGGTTGCGGCTGCCAGGATCAACGAGACTGCCGACAACCCATGATTTCCCGATGACTGCGAGCCGCGCACCGGTCTTTTCTTTTTCATGTAACACCAGTATCTGATGCGCATCGGTCGTGGCTGGCAGCGGGTAGCATCGCCTGCAGAAACGATATGGGGATGATCCATGTTGGCGATTTATTCCGCGAGGGATAATGGAGGGCATGCAGGATAGCAGTATCTACTCAGACTGAGTGCATCATGACGGTGGCAGAACACCGTGCGGTCTTAGAATATAGATGCCACTATCGCACGAACACGAAGAGCTGGACGCCGGGTCCGGGAGAGCCTGCTCGCGACACCTCCTGCAGTGCGCGAAGCCGGCATGAAGCTTTGTTCGGGTGCCTCCAGACGGACGGGACCGCGCGGAGCCGACAAACGCCGTCCGGATCAATGGCTGACGAGCATGGCCGGTCTGCCGGTCCGGGCGACGGTAACAACACCGAAATCATCGCAAAGAGTTAGTGCGGATGCAAGGAACCGGCCTGAATTAGGTGGCTTGTTGTCGATTACAAGTTTCAACCAGAGTGGTAATAGGCGGCCAGATGAGCGCTTTGACGATATCGAAACTTTCGAAGCAGGCCAGTTGGTTATTCCTATCTAAGCTAATGATGCCCACGGAGGTTTGAGCTGCTTGTGGTGTATGGCCGAACCCTCCTAGTGGTCTCTGTATATCAGATCATGGCAGGGTATCATACTTTGAGGCCTAGTCAAATATCCATCTCAGATCCTTCCCGCCATTCAGCCGGTCGACAATCTACGTGAGGTAGGTAGTCTAGCAACGTAGAGTCTGCTGCCGTGCTCTTGTGAGTGGGCTTCAGACAGACATGCACATGCAGGTTTCGCTTGGGCTTCATGCGTGGAGAGATGAAGGGGACCTGACTGGAGGTATTCGTGACACGACATTACGAAGGTCGCTCCAAATTAGGAACATATTGCGATATTCCGCAGATGTTCAAGCCAAGACGAACATCAATTGCTTTTTCCTCCCTCATATTGACGGCAGCTGATGAGTTACATACCAGATTCGATAATGCATGCCTGTGCTGAATCCCTCCAATTTCCATCTTGGGTAGGGATGCTTGTTCAAGATGAAGAAAGTTGCTTTTGGCCGAAAGCTCAAGAACCACGCCTGACCTATCATGGCATGCCAAGGACTAACCAACGATATGGCATGTAGGGGACTAGGTATAATGCATGTAGGTAATCATGTTCGCACTAATAAGCTACTGTACGTACATATAATTGCAGTAATTTTGGGCCCGGCCTGTAGGCTGACGTTGATGGTGAGGTTGACGTCGTTGCCGCCTCAGATCTAAACGGACCAATCCCGTCTCTATATCAAAAGTTGAACCCCCCTAGCAGCCTAGCCTACCTAGGCGGGAAATGTAGATGATATATGATATTAGGTGCTTTTGCTTTGCTTTCTGCATTGCGCAAGCCCAGGATTTCGGCAGAGGCTGTCTTCTGGCTCCAGGTGTTTCTTTTCTTTTTTTTGCTTTTGCATACTTTCTTTTTCTTTTTTTCAATTCTTTTCTGCCCATGCTTTTGCATCCTCCTTGATGCTAGTTACCCTTTAGCACATTAGCTGGTGTTCCTCAAACCCTGGACTGCATAATCATAACCCCACCACACTCACTCAAGTTCGATCACTGTCATCGTTTTCTCATCCAACATAGGCAAAGCTCAGCTCTTTTCTTCCTTGGAAATACCACTTTGGCCTGAAATTCGGTTCTCATTTTGCTCTACCTAATCCTGAGAGCGGCGCAGGCGTCTCGCAAGCACCTCATTCTTTGACCGCCCCTCCAAAGCAAAGCAAAGACAAGCGTCTCAGCCAAAAACACACCGCGATATTCCCCGCCTAGGTCAATCCATCCATCCAGACTACTCTCTTTCAGCCATGGCCGACGTTCCGCTCGTTGTTATCTCGGAATTCGCGCAGTCAGAGCGTCGCATCACACCGTCATGGTCCATCTCTCAACTCAAGGACAAGCTTGAGACTGTCACTGGTGTTCCGCCCTCTTGCCAACGGCTCTCCCTGAAGCCCACAGCCGGCGCAGAGGCTATCGCTATTGAGGCGCCTAACGAGGACGACACCCACTTGTCCAACTTTCCCCTGGCCCCGTATGCAGAGCTTCATGTAAGTCAGAGTGCATCATAGCACGGCCTCTCATTTGTCAGCTACTTTCCCATGTCATGTGCCTTGGCCGAGATATTCTCGCTGTCCTTCACTCTTCTGTCTGCGGCGTTCCTGTCGACGAGTATTCAAGGTTCCCAGGTCCATGCTATTCACCGGTGCTGAGCTGGCACTTGAGAATTGTGGCGAGGGGGGGGCCGAGCGGGAGAGGCGGTGGGAGTTGAGCTGTTGCGTATGTGCGCGCGTTCAGGGACCAGAGGATCGTCGCTGTTTTAGTGGTGCCACCATATACTTTTTTTACCCTCCAATACTTTGGATAAGGCTGACAGGGATCCAACCTGGTAGGTAATTGACACACGGCCTGCGGCCTCCCGGATCAACTTGAACGACACCGCGGGCGTCGACAAATATGTCATGCCCGAGGAAGAGTACGAGAAAAAGACGGACTCGGTCCTAGCCTGGAAGAAGGCTCAGAAGTTAGGCCGTTTCGACCCAGATGCCCCCAGCCACGAAGAGACCAAGCTGCAGGCTCTTGACCGCGAGGTTGCCACGCGGGGCATTGCTGTCGGCCGACGGTGTCGCGTTGGCGGTGAGGATACTCGACGCGGTGTCATCCAGTACGTCGGTGAGGTCAAGGAGATCCCCGGCGGTCTCGGGTCATGGGTGGGAGTCAAGCTCGATGAGCCCGTTGGCAAGAATGACGGTAGCATCGCTGGTACTCGATACTGGGGCGAGCCCTCTGAGCTCAAGCATGGTGTCTTTGTGAGGCCAGAGCGGGTTGAGGTGGGCGATTTCCCTGCTCTTGACGACTTGGAAGATATGGAGGAGATTTAGACGTCTCGAGTGTGAACAGCTCGATGGTTTAGGGTTGGTGGTTTTCTGTTGGGCAAACATTGATATCTACAGCGAACGTTGTACCTCGTGATTGTAATTAGAGCCAGGCTCCGTAGGAAGTCTACCCCAAAAGGTAGTTTGAATCAGGAGTAATTTTATCATAGCCGGAGCCTTGCAACTTGGTCGTGCAAGGCCATCAGATCTGCCAGCTTTACAAAACACGGATACACAAACCAGCCACCAAATCAAGATCTTACAAGTCAGATCCTTCCGTCCACTTTGTGAAACACATGAAATGGCATCCCGAGATCTATCATCATAGATTCCCGGCCCCTGCGTAAGATCTCTCCGTCGTACGCAGCGGCCATCTGGTCTCCCCTGCATCTCTTGAGCAACGCGATTCCCGATCCGTGAAATCTTGCAGCAACGGCTCGGCAACTTTATTCCAACAACAACGCGATATACAGCTGTCCTCATATACCCAGAGTGAGCTTAAGAGTGGCTGAGAAACTTTTGCGGGCATTCTGGGTGATATAGTTGTTGAGTTGTGCTGGATAAAACGACCACTATTGTGTTATAGGTGCAGGGTGGGTATCAGATTATGAATTGCTAACAGGTGTCTACACTTCCTCGGCAGCATGTCTACACTATATATGTGAGTAACTAAATTGTGTTATTCTGAAGTCTTATAGCTACTTTGAACGGCAATAGTTATATCTCTCCTGTGCCTTGCTACTTCAGGAGGTCACTATGGCACCACGAGGAAGCTGGAGGTCCTTTTCACCTTTTCGCTGACACTATGTTTCGATCACAAAAGCACAAGATCCCGCCTGCATAATTTACTCTATTTGGACCTAACTACCGATCGTAAACAGTATATGGCCATAACGGTGCTACAGTCCCTGTGCTGTGTTGGCTGCTTTGAAGAGTGTGGCATGGGTCTATGCTCATCACGGCTTTGCGTTATGTCTTATCTATTTGAACATCGCAAGTACTGCATTGTACCATTCATCTACTCCTGCGTAGTCTCCCGGGAAGATTTGGTGTTATATACTACTTACGGCTCAAGTGGACATGGATGTGATGATTATAACAGGATACCTGATTACTTACTGTGTCTTTGGTAGCATCTCTAAGTTCTGGAACCACCAGCCATTGTTGACTATGAACTGCATGCAGCGCTGAGGTTCTTGGAGATGGATCGACACTAGATATCAGTATCTCGAATGCTGTTAAATGATCATGTCGCCATTTGCAAACGATATACCCCGGGCGAATCATTTCCTTGGAATGTTCACCCAGGATGTATCCAAACAAAAGCATATTTGCAATCAAACCCTGTGCTTTATGAGCTTGAGAGCTACTACTGTGATAGCACAATAGGTAGGTAAATAGTACATCAAGAAAGTGTAACGGTAAGTCTAAGATACCTTATATATGATAACGTCGTCCAACCACAATTTTATTTACCATTCAAACTCCATCTACTCTTGTGTATTATACCCTCTCTTGTCTTATTGCAATGTCTCTGGGGTAGTTTCGCCTTGATATGTATTCTAAATTGTGCTCCCTGAACGACGACCAAGTTCATGGAAATGAGCCTGATCCCCTGGGCCATTACTGATTGTCACAACCATATATACCATAGACTTTAAAAGTTACTTGTTTTCCTCTTCGTTTAACTTCAAGTGCCCTAGAACTGAAGCTTAACGATACTTCTAACCCCAGTGATGAGTGGCAAATCACCCTTCTTCTCAGCTGCCAAAACGACGCTCGAGGCGGTTGAAAGCCTATCTCGTAAGGTTCAATATCAACATTAAATTCTCCACAACTAATTCAGACTACTTCCAAGTCCTTAAAAGCAATAAACTACTTAGCTCAAGTCTGCTTGCTGATAACCCCGTATTAATTCAACCATGAATACTGAAGAGCAACGAAATAATCGGGGAAATGCATTCAATAACGTGGTTAAAGCTGGCAGCTGGCGTATGATATGATTCTACCTCATGTTACTTTGAGATTCTCGATTGTGCAATCTGTCAACGTTTAATAACAGAAAGGTTGAGTATTTTGCCATATCGTGTGTCTTTCTCTGATCACTCTCTGGTTCAAAGTATCACTTCAGATATGTCGATCTAGCCATCAAATGATTCATAAAGGCCCTTCAGTGCAAACAGGGCCCTCGTTGTCTATTATGGTCAAGATTTGCCGTAAAAATTCAATGGCTGGCGTCAATCTCGTTTTGATCTTGGAAGTTACAACAGTAACCACGATAAAGTTTATTTAATCAGTAAAATATCCACATTGTCAACGACGATTTCTATTGTACTCTAAAAACACATCAAGATGTGCTCTCTATTTAGAACGTGTAGATTATCCCATGAGATATTATAGGCCTTAACGACCTTCTAGGTACTAAGGTATAGATCAGGAGTATGTAGGGTATCACCATATAACATGACTAACAAGACCAATATATCATCCATGCGGCTTCCCCTCACGCGATCATGCTGGCCGAAGCTTGGCCAACACAGACACTTTCACAGTTTCGGAAGAGATGGATAGACTTTACTGTAATCACAGTGATTTAATGAATTGATCGTCTGTTTAGGTGTTCATCTTATAGATAGCTCAAGCAATCAGCAACCGAAACAAGCAAGTTATCGTTATTCATTAACGTCTACAAAACCACATTGATGGCACTGATTCAAGCAGAATTGGCTTTGGATAATTGCCAAGCTTGCAGTGACAGTAGTGTGAGCACCTAGAGGCTTGGGAGCCAAAACGCTGTGTTTCCAGTGGTTGGAAGTTGCCGTTCCCCTCTATTGTCGCTTGCCAGCGGGCGCGCGGGAACTTTTTCGGGTGGGCTCCACCCCGATACGGGACCCGATGGCACCCATCATGGCTAGGATGTGATGGATTTGAAGACTGCTCCTGTTTCTCCCTCCATCATCAATTTGCCCTGAAATTGGATTTAACTCTTTTCAACTCAGCCCGCGGAACCCCCACCGAAAACGAACCGCAATACAAATACGAGACGAGTGTAGTGCAGGAGAATTGCGACCGGCCCATGCGATCCAGAACCGACATGTTGGCTTCCACCTAAACGTCAACTGGCGATGACTTCAGTCGTATCAGCGTTGCCCCTACGTACGCGAAATCGACGACTACACACGATACTCTACGCATAAATCCCATCTGCAGTCTCGCCATCACCCACAACCGGCGTTATTCAACACGTCTCCTACCCTCGACACCACTGCTATACAACCACAATCATGAGATTCTCGACAATAATTAGCACAGGCAGGATGGCACTCTCCATCTCCATCCTAGCCTGCACTCTTACAGGTGTCCTTGCCGATGACACTGAAGTATCTACACGGGCCGAAACTGAAATCCCTGAATGGGCCACAATCAGCGGCATGCAACTCTCGTTGTCAGCGAACCCTGGGCTGCAATTTGCTGTAATCCCTCTTACATCGAATCTGGGACTTAACGATTCCACAGGTCGAGTAATAGATGTATGTCCTTGCTCTGCACTGTTTCCTTGTTAATGCTGATGACTTTTCGAAAGATTATTCATATCACGGGCAATATGATCGCGACGGACTCTTCAAATTACAACAAAGTGACTGACAAGGACGATATCGCCTATCTGTCATGCGACGACCCCAAAGGCGACTCTTTTCTCAGTCCCAACAAGATGCTCAACACATTGATGCAGCTTGAACCTCATATCAGGGCGATAGTCCTGTATTCTACGTCCAACACATGGTGTGCCATCGACCCAGTCGACAAACTTCCGTTTACGAGTATCTTGTCCATGGCCGATGGAGGTGAGGCTACACAAGCCCTCAATCTTTTGAACGGTACCAGCCGTGGTGAAGTTGTCAAAGCGAGCATTTTCGGTAACAACACAGATAATACGCTGCCAAAGGATGAGAGCAAAGGGGGTAGCAACACGGCTGCCATGAGTGTTTTGTACGCCATCACTGGCCTGATTACTCTGCTATTCTTGGTGATCATCACGACAGGCGCTGTGAGAGCCCATAGATACCCTGAAAGATACGGGCCACGAGGTGCACTTGGTGGGCGGCCACGACAGAGCCGGGCCAAGGGACTTGCTCGGGCTGTTCTGGACACGATCCCAATTGTCAAGTTTGGAAACCAGACACCTACAAAGCCAGACCCCGAATCGGAATTGGAGAATACGGAAGGCAACGATGCTGTCACACAGCGAACTGCGTCACGCCTCAGCGAGGCCAGACCGTCTGACGGGGCTCCGGCACCAGGTGGGGTGACAAATGCCGTACCAGCCGCGACTAGGGCATCGCCTTCTCCCGAGAGTGCCGAAGACGAGACGAGCGACCACTTAGGATGCTCTATCTGCACCGAAGACTTTACGGTTGGTGAAGACGTTAGAGTGTTGCCCTGCAAGCATCAGTACCATCCGGCTTGTGTTGATCCATGGCTGATCAACGTATCTGGCACGTGTCCATTGTGGTGAGTTACTACCTTGTCAAAGATCCGATTCTTATGCATACTGACACGCCATTAGCCGCTATGATTTACGGCCAGGCAAGGGTCATGCATCTTCGGAGGCGGATGTTGGCGACTCTAGCACGCTGCCGCCACCTTTGGCAATGGAGGGTGCTGAGAACGACGCGCCTCAGTCATCTCACCGTAACCGACTCTCGAGACTTTTTGATATTAACCGCCTTCGAGAGGGGACCGTGGAAGAACAAATGGAAGCATTACGGCAGATGCGGGCGGAAACCAATGAAAACAACAACCGAGAGACAACAGAAGTTACTGAAGCTGCCGATGGCGAGTCGCAGGGCCAAAGTGCACGATTTGCGGCGAGGCTTCGGGATAGATTTAGGATCCGCACACGCGCTCAAGCCGTCGAAGATCATGAAAGCCAACGAGGGAGCTAGTGAGTAGCACGGAGGTGCCGGGGTGTTGATGTTACCGGCGATATGAATTTAGGGCTGGGAAATGGGGATCGAAAGGCTTCACGCTTTGATGCAATCAGGGGCAGAAGGGTCCCTTGCATGCATTTGTGAGCCGGTTTGAAGGAGAAGAATGTTCGGGATCGGCGTTGAGGCTGAGGAATGATAACTTGGGTTTCAATTTGGACACATGGGAAGCATGGCAAGGCGTTTCTTTGGACGATCGCACATAAGCGCGTGCTCACGACGATCGTGGTTGATGATCACTTTCGGCTTATCCGAGAGCGCAAATACTTACCTTACATATGATACCTTTGATGATTTATACACGCTTATACGAAATCAAGACCTCGTACACCGGGGGTCTCTCTTTCTTTTTTTCAAAAGAGGATTTGATATCAGCATATGCAAGTGGACCTTTGGTAATCCAGCAGTGAATCGACAGCCCTTCGATATTCACTCAAGCTTGCATGCAACACCGTTCGTTGAAGATATTCGCAACCAAGCGCCCAGTGTCGGTATCGTGCCTCATAACAGGATCTGATTCAGCCAGTCTAGAATCCGAACCAAGAGCCTGGCTCCAGTGACCTGGCACCACAGATGAAGGGTAAAAGTCGCAGATTCAGCGGGAGAAAGCAACTCGAAAGTCTCTTCGGTTAATTCCCTCGGCAGATCATCAGGACTGTTGGAACACACAAATATGCTAAGTTCAGCCATACTAGACTGTGGCTTTTCGGGGGCACAATTGCCGGCGCAGCTTGAGGTCCGGGCAATTACAAAGAACTTGGTTGCTCAAATATCGTCACCGTAATGAAAATGGATCTCGGGCAATGTATCAGGTTCCCGATCCTCGTAATGCAAGTGTCAACTGGAAATGAGATAATGACGCTGGCGTGGGAAGTGTTTGTTGAGCATCCTTAATCCGTGTTTCAGATAGAACTTAGAAGGTCACTTGCTCCCACCATAATACGCAACACGCTGGAGTCGTTGAATTGCATGAATGCAAACTTTCCTCGGTTTCATTGGCAGCTTACAGCCAGCACGTTGGTAGTGGTTGGCGCATCAGGCCCGTGCAACGCACGCCGTATGGGATCTCAAAACCGATACATACCGTGAATACCAGTATGCTGGTTCGATGTGAGTTTACCTATCAACTATAATCCCGGGCCACATCCAGACCAACGGTAATGCAGCAGCAGATGATAATCTTCAGCGCAAATCGTTGTCTTGGATTTCTTGCAGCCTATGATAAATAAGCTTTGAGCTATCGACACTAGAGAGCAGGAGTGTCGAGATTGACCAATACAACAATGCTACTCAGCCAAGGTCACCTTAGTTGGACTCACAGCCTTAACTGATCAACGAGGGCTGAAGAACATTTGAGGCTCAAGGTCGGAGATCCTATTCTGTGAGCCGTGCTCAAACTACAAAACTCCGTCTGAATTGTTCCTTCGGGGAAGATATCTCGAGCTATATGCCACCAGGATGCCGGAAACTTGTTTTGCCAAGCGGGATGGCACTACTGAACCGTGACTTTGGGAGAACCTACCCGCCACAAGGCCGCCTTTGGATCTCCAATTCCTGCCGAGTCAGGTGAGCCACATACGCGTGGAATTTCCCGATTTACTGTCCGTCGGCCAATCTCGAGTCGAGACAGAGTCCGGATTGTGTTAGAGTGTTTCGTAACGGGACCTCGTCAGGGGCATTAGCGCGAAGGATCTTGATTGATCCCGGGGGTGGATAGATCGGATCTAGCCGGGTCTAAGTACTAACAATAGAGCAAGCAAGAAGACGGGAGGATTTGAATAAGGAGAAGGGGGGTTTTCTTCCTTCCTTTCCGGTATAGGGGAAGAATATGATGTTTCGGGAAGCTGAAGGATTTGTTCAAGCTGAGAAGGCTTTACCATGAACGGATATGGGAGGTTCCCCTTCCCCAGTCTCTACTTGCCTCCTACATGACCCGTTAAACAGGGTGTCAAGATTCAAGAACTCTCTACATTCGAGACGGGAAACAACTTCCCAACTTACCATAGTACCCGCCTACCTTAGTACCTACCTACTTTACTTAAAAAGGATCGGATAGCAACTCCCCTTTCGTCTAGTTTGCTCAGGGAGAGACATTATCTGAGCACTTCGCAGCTTCAAATTTCCTCAAGCCTCGAAAAAACACCATCACAGCCAACACAAGCCACGATCTATCGACACCACTGCACGGGGCACTCTTCCGTTGCTCCGGTATCGATGCTACTGTCAGTGCGCACTCGATAGTGCACAACGTCCCGCCATACCACGGGTTTGCGCATGTCCATGTCGAGGATGGCTTACACCACCCGATGAACGATCGAAGTTAGGGTGTGGTCGATCTGTTTATTCCTATTTGTCGCCTCCCATCGAACTCCCGACCGAAATGGGTCGGCTTCATGTCCAGTCCCCTTTCCTTTTTACCATAGCCACAGCCGTATCGATCGAACGCCATGCCGCAAGAGACGGGTTAGAGTAATCATCAGTAGCTCTCCCTGGCATTGTTATAATGGAAAAGCAACAATATCGGCCAACACAGTTTGCCCCGAAACCGGGCATTCCTAAGTCCTGATATGATCACCAATCATCAAGAATTGGGATGACTTCTGGAAAATCGATCGAACAAATGCTTTACGAGTCAACCTTTTGTGACTCGAAATTAATGACATTCTATCAAATAGCTTTCACCAATACAGTGATTTTCTCTTACCTGCATCCGGAACCAAGTCTCACATGGGTGACAATGGGTGACACACCGCACTCGCGAGCCACATCAAACACTACTCAAACCGCGGCCGGGACATCGCCAAGGATTCAGCCAGGTATTCGGATTCTCCGTGGCTATCCCAGATGATATTACAGTGCCCACAAAGAGCCACCACCCATCGTACTCTCATCCACCCCCGTCAGTGGCCCATCAAGTAACGACTATTCCGCTCTAACCTTATTTCAATTTTCATCTCCAATCGTTGGTCCCTTTACACTAAATTTCTTGGTAAACAAACTACGGAGTACCTACTGATCTCTTTGTTGGTCCCCGAATCATCGTATCTGGCTCAACAGATGTGCCACTTAGTATCCCGGTATCGTTCGTACCTGCGGCCAGCCAAAACGTTTCTACGTGGTGCCTGAACTTATTCTGCTTCTGGCTCGTCTCGGGGCTTATTTCATTCACGGGCCCATGAACAGCTTCCAAGACATTAGTTGGGTTGAGCTAAAGACACCTAGTTTCCAGACTACTGGATAGGTTGCGGCAGAAGAACTAGAGATCTGAGGCTTCGGCACAGTCAGTAAAGCGTCTGGGCTTGATCTTTTTACTCTATAGCCACAAATTATGCTTTGACTTTATACCTGTCTGGGCAATTGCCCTTTCCCCCCGTCCTCGTGCTCCTCCTTAACTATCACCGTACGCAACCCTCTGATCAAGGCATGAAATTTACTTTCGTTTTTCTATCGAAGATCTGCCTATTATCATTAGGGACAGTAGCAAGAACTCAGCTTCATGCTTGGATGTTCTCTCGGATCCCATTTTGACACGACCGTCCTCAAGCACCATCTGATATGGCTCCCAAGCCTTTTCTCGAGCCTCGCGAGGCATATCTACCGAAACCTGTTCCTATAGGAGGAGATATTATGTCGGTTATGGTCTCCCTCGCTGCCTGTTCAATATTAGCTGTCTTTCTTTGTCAGTATTTGCAGATTCTTCTAAGATTAACACTAAAAACTGACACGCATGATGGAATAGTCCAGAGAATTACTGCCGTTAGATCCTGGTCCAGGTTACCATTTGTTGCTTGGCGTAAGTCTCTTGAACTGATGCGAGGATACGGTTCAAATTTTTTAACCAAACGTATTATATAGTCGTTCTAGTCATCTACGTCGACTCCTATGGTTTTGTTTTCACCTCTGCGATCCTCCAACAGGTCTTCGGTGTCAACAGCAGCTTTAACATTTGCCATGGCGCTATTTTGCTTTGCCTAATATGCTATGTCACAACCAAGATTGTGGGCTCTCCTGTCGACTGTACTGCGGAAGGGTTGGCTAATGCGAGAATAGCTTATATACGTCTTTCTTGTCGAGAAAGCTGTAAGTTCCAGATGTTTTTTGAGGATTGGAGTGAAATGTCTAATATTATCTAGCATGTTATTCGAAGCTCTACTACACGAAGAAGAAATTCGAAACTTTACTTGTTCAATATGATCACACTTCTTGGTGGCTATGGAGTGGTTGTCGTCCTCAACTTTATCTAGTAGGTCCTCCTAGCATTGATTGACTTTCGTTTACCAACGGCTTTCTAACGGTACTAGTCGCATTGCCAGAATTGTAAACGGAGAGTGCTTCATCGGCATGAAGAGCATCTCTATGATTCCTCTTATCGCTTTCGATGCCGTCGTCAATGTCTACCTGACCATTCTTTTTCTAATCCCTCTTAAAAGTCAGTTGACGTTCGGTAGTTTCACGTGCATATGCTAATGAGTCGTCAGATCTCTACTCATTCAAGAATCTTCCAAAGAGTCATGCGAACTCCCGTCTCCGCAGTGTGGCCTTCCGTACTTTTGTTGGTGCTTGCTGTACCTTGACAAGCAGCATAGTGTAAGTTCATTGATGCCTAGCGTTTTGAATACCCCTAACATTGGCTAGAAACTTGACTGTGTTAATGGTTCTTAATGGCGAGCCGGGTTGGGTGTGTTTAATGTGTTGCAACAGTGACGGTATGTACCTCAAACAAGACGTCTGGAATATAACTGACCATATTAAGTCCTCTTTTCGGCCATTGTCGTTCAATGGGTCACTTCTCGCGATAGTGCTGGTTCTTCCAGTCAACCAGCTTCGGCTGCTGTTACGGATGGCAGCTACATTGGCAGACGTGCCTCGTCGGCTCATCCAAGAAGTCTGCATGCTTCGAACGTTCCCAACGTTCCTCGCGACGTTGATGACGAGACTTCTCTTGTCGGACATGCTACCGTCACCTCTTTGACAGATGACCCTGGCTTCGAGATGACCAAAGTTCATTCTGGGGCTACAAGTGGTGTTATAGTTACGACGACAATTCACCGTGAGAGCCGGCCTACGACGGAACGAAAGGAGAGCAGCGACGATGACGACGATATCGGGATCGAATCAGACCAAGACTTTCCGGTGCGATCGGTGGCTTTTGCTCCAGGCCACACAGAAGCCGCAGAGCCACCTCGAACGCGAATCCAAGGAGGCTCCAGGCAGCATCATCATTCCAAGACACCTTCGTTCTCACGTCCGTTGAACAAGTAGAATTTACATTACAAGGCTGTTTTAGAAGAGAATTGCTTAGAACATTGGGTCAGGAAAATCGGCGTTTTCAGGATAAAGGTTCTTTGGAGAAAAAGAAGAGTGTTCTAGGTGTGTTTGAAAAGATCGGAGTTGATATGGAAGGGGGCGGCAATACCCAATATTTAGTTTTAATCATCACCCAGAGTTGCAGAAACCCATGCAGCTAATGATATTCTTAATACCTCACGACTTGGGAAGAGCATCTATCCTCTAGGACAAGTTGACATGACGCTTATTAAACTTGACAAAGACGTTCCCCACTCATCGATGGAATGGACGCGTGACACAATAGTGTCAGGTGTTGATCTCCCGCATTCATCCACATGGCGCGACATTCCTCAGCCTACAACACAATTCAATCAAAACATTGGCATAGCCACGGTCTAGGATGAAGGCAAGGGTTCAAGATCCCAAATCCAGGCTGACGAGACAGCTTGGCGTAGTCGTGCAAGTCGTCACCCATTCAAGCAGTAGGTATGTTCTTTCACAGTGTGGCATAGGAGTTGGAGCAGTGAAATCGCTGTTCATTGTCATCGTAGCTCGTAGATGTATCTACACGCTGAAAGAAGTCTATCAAACTGCTAAGATCAGGAATTGTTCTATTTGCAAAGTCCCCCCTTTTTGTAATATCCCGGAATTGATGATAAGAAAAAAGGTAAGGAGGTTGACCGCGCGATATAAACTTGGATACTGCAAGCCAGATCCTGGTCACCTAAATGCAGAATATGTACATAAGTCAACAGGCGCCATCCTTGAACCGAATATGTTTATCCTCCCTCCCGAAAGCCAATTTTGAATGGTTGGGTATTTCCCTAGCGAGTGTACAAGAAGTTATAAAACGAACTGAGTGGCCATCTGCCATGAGCCTTGGTGAGCTTAAGCGGAGGCATAAACGCTACCGTAGGAGCTGAGCTCGGTCTCGCTGGTCATGAGCATGCCAGTCTCGACCTTGAAGTAGGAGTAGGCATCAAGGTAAGAAAGGTCCTCAAGCTGGGGGATGGCATCCTTGAGCCAGGTGGCAATGGCCTCGTCAGAACCAGTAGGAGCAAACTCGGTGAGCCAGATGGGCTTTCCGCCGCAAGCCTCGTGGGAAGCCTTGAGATGGTCGAAGAGAGTGCTACCGTACTCAACCTCGGAGTACCAGTGGACGTTGCAGAAATCATATTGGCACTGCTCGTCAAGCTTCTCACACTCGGAGACCCAGCTCTTGAGCCACTCGACACCCTCCCCAGCAAGACCACTGTTGCTGATGGAAGGGGCGCCGATGAGGGCCTTTCCAGCATAGGGGTTGAGCCACTTGACATGGGCCTGGGCAGCGTAGGCAGGAGTCATGTCAGCCTGGCCAGCGTTGTCAGGCTCGTTGAAGCTGAAAATAGCCTTGGCGCCATCACTCAGGGCCTGGGCACAGTTGTCGGCAAAGCGGTCGGTGTGGAGAGGCTGGTCGTTCCAGAGGGTAGGGATGAAGTTGAGACCCTTAAGACCGCCGGAAGAGGAGTCCCAGTTGTAACCCCAGCCGCAGTTCTCGCAGTCGCCAGCGAAAGTGTTGGCAAGGTCAACGTTGTTGTAGCAGACACCGCGCTTGTGGGAGAAGCCAGGGGAGCCACCGGAAGAGGTGCCGCTAGACTTGGACTGAGTGCTGCTAGACTTGGCCTTGGACTGAGTCTTCTCCTTGATGGCAGCCTTCTGGGGAGCCTTGGCGGCGGTCTCCTCCTTCTTGGGCTGGGAAGCGGGCTCATAGGCGGACTTGGCAGCTTGAGAGGGTTTGGCGACCTTGATAATGGTGGTAGGCTGAGCGGCAACGGGAGCGGGAGCGGGAGCAGAAGATGCCTCGGGTTGAGAAGCGGCGGCGGGCTGGGTAGCAGCAGGTGCAGAACCGCCGGGGCCGAAGTAGTTGTTCTCCCAAGAGACGACCTGACCGTCAATGGTGGCAACGACCCAGTCACCACGCTTCTGGGCGTGCTGGTGGTGAGCGTGGCGGTGGCCAAGAGCGAGAGCCGGCTCAAGAAGAGCGGCGGTAGCGGTAAGGATGGTGAGCTTGTTGGCGATCATCTTGACTGATATGACTTATATTCCTAATCAAGGCGATTTGGGTAAGGACCGATGGAAGTGTGTTTTCCGAGACGGTAGTCGACTTATGTAATGAATGTGAAGTTGTACTTGATATTCGGGTTGATCACAGTCGGGATGACAAGGTGAAAGCAACGACGAAAGATCGGGGCTGAGACGATAGTTGTAGTTATGTGATCGGCACGGCCGAGTAGGGAGTGTGTATGCGATCTATCAAAGACGCAGATAAAGAAGGGCGACGACTAGTCGAGACGAGGGTTGAAAACACGGGCTGATATTGACGAGATGAAGGAGAGAGGGGGGAGGGAAGTTCGAAACCATGGGGGATATAGAGGGTTTAAGAGCAAGGGCAGGCAATGGCGACGGAAGTGGTGTGGTTTGGGCATGATCCAGAAGGACAGTACAAGTGGTGAGGTGGACTGGAATGTATCTTTTGCCTACTAGTGATTGTTGGAGATACCCGTGTCTTCACCTGACACCTGGTATCTTTGTTTCTAAGACTGGAAAGACTGGGAAGAAAGACCCCCGCCTGGGCCATCGAGAGCCTCCACTTGCAGGGGCCGTTTTGGGGCGCTTTCGGTGGACTCAAGTGAAATGCTTGGAGGCATTCTGCAGTTCCATTGGCCGACGCTCCTGTTCCTGGCGCCGTGCTAGAGTGGATCTCTGGCCGGGTACGCCATCCCTGGCAAAAAGCGGGTAGCATGTCAGGGGCAGCCGCTTCAGGTAGCATCAAAGCAGTTTCCGATTGGACAAGCTGACCTCCCTCTTGGAACCTAGACGACAGGTCCGCGACAGCGACAGTGGGCAAGGAAAACATGGGCTAACGTGGCAGTGGATGCGCAACCACTCACACAGAGGCAAACACACGCTGTGCCTGAACTGAAACCACTATACATGCGCTATTTCATCCGGCTTTGGTCTACTGCAGGTCCCTTCTGCAGGAACACACACACACACACACAAAGAGGAAAAGAAACAAAAGACCGCAAACGGCCCAATCGTGTTAGTGGCCCTCAAAGGAATGATTCACGCACTGGGGCCTTTGTTACCTTTGCTGCAATGCCAGCACTCTTTCGCCCCAATTCCTGACTCGACGATCCCACAACCAAGCTTCTGATATCCACCATGGTATTAAAAACTAAACGGTCCCGAGAGATTAAGCCAAGCCAAGACAGCAGAACTCCAGAAGAACACGACCGAGTTTGCTGCCGGCACTTGGCCTTCGAGAACCCTCAACGCCCACTTCCCAGCTATTAACGTAATCGCACAAGGCCGTCGTAAACGTTGGCTCTAACTCCGTTGAGCTGATCCTACCCAGGATGCCCTGTAGGCTGTAGCTGATGCGATGCTTACCCTGGTGCCAAGCCCAGCCAACTTGATGAATGCAAGGCCAGAGGTTAACGACCACCAACTTCTGCATCACCGTCATCATCTAGCTTCTCGTCATTCCAATGCTCTCACACCAGAGGCGCATGATACGCATCATATGACGCTCATCACGACAACTAGCAACGACAACGCACACACAACTAATAAAGCACTCAAGAACAAGGCGCACAAACGCTGCCACCGACGAAAATTCTAAATGTCTTGGCTTTTTGGTGCATCCCAGCCTCTTGGGACAAACCTGAGCCCATTGCTAAAGGGCCACGTCGGCTGCTAAACCCAATTCTCACTTAGCATCCGCCGTGTGAAACACCGTCCGAAATTACATCCGCAGCCACGGTAGGGGGGCTCCACGCGTACAACCATGATATCCCTTGTCAATATCTGAGCAACCTGTTAGCCGGGATTCCGGATCGGATCCTCATCGCAGCCCACAACGAATGGACGCTGCAAACGGATGGAGGAAACACATTATTGAGCCATTTTTGGCATAAAAAAAGCTTGGTTCTCGATTCTCATAGTATAGCAGGGTTGTCACTCATCCCCACCAGAGACATTCACAACTTGGATCAAGAGAAAGAAGAAGAAAAAAACTCAATGCCGCATTTTGATGCTCTGACTCAGATCTTCGTAACATGTCCTGTTTTTTTTGGGGGGAGTCTCTGCCATCACTTTGCATGATGAGGGTTGCATTTTCTGCACCTAGCCATGACCGAGCACCAAGAAACACACTCAACAATCTTTGCTTTGTACAAGCTAAATGTCACGGACTCTGTTTCCTCGGCTTGGCACCTAAACTATTGTCATGTGGCGGTCAAGCTGACGTGTTACACTCAATGCACTCTGAGGCTGTTTCTTTGTGCAATAAGTGCTTGGGGCTCTGGTTGATGGACTCCCCTGATCAGTGTCGTTTACTCATAGTTGTCACAGTGCCGAGTAAACAAAACAAGCAGTCTTTCAAGCGACGAGCTGCTGCCTGTATGGAAAATCCTGATTCAGCCCATAACTTATGGACCTATGGGGCACTCATCTTATCTCACGAAATCGCTTCGGGGGACCCTGGAGTCTTTTGAGCTTTTAATAGGTTTTGAGCACGGCTCTTGCTCTCCACTGCCCATCAGCTGTTGACTCTGGGTTGATGATTCGGTACCGCAACACGGCTCAAACTATCCAATTTCAGAGTACGATGCATTGAGCGGGACGTTAATATAATGTTGTTGTGGTATACGAACGCTGGGGGACATGACCCACCTTTGACGGGATGTGGATGTTTTTGATCAAGGCGTACGGATACCGTTGATCAACGTGGTAATGGTGAGAGCAGCAGGTTGGTCATTCAGGACCTGAGGCCTCCCTAGAAGGGACCGGGAACGATATTTCAGGTGAGATGGCTATGATACCGTGGTGGCATTGGTTCATACAAAATATGGTGATAAATTTCATATCTCATATGTGGTACAGGGTAGGATTGTTCTGTTTACATATAAGCCCCCTGGCTGCATTATCACATGCAGGCCTCAACAAACTGCAAGCTCTGTTGATGATGAGTTTATTACACTTTACTAATGCGAGATGCATTAAGTGCCCCTTTCTATCGGATTTGAATACATTGCAAACAGGCCTGCTTGTTGGAATATCGTTTGATGTGCGTGTGTTGTCCGTCTCGTAATAGGTTGTGAGCAACCAAAATCTGAGCCTTGAACAGGTGAGCTTCAGAAACCGTAACAAACGAAATGAGCCATCGTTTTTAAAATAGATCCTGTAACATGGCTCCAGAGTTCAGGTGAGCTAATAACATGATCGGCACTAGGATACCTGCGAATCGCGATATTTGCAGAAGCGCCCGACGATGGGAAATGAGGTGAAGGACTAGAGGACGATCGCAGGTGCGCGCTTGTTATTCCCGTGATTTGGCCAGTAATTACACTACGACGGAGCAGAGTGCGACACCAAAAGTGCCATCTCCAACCAGACGTTTTCCGGAGCTTGCTGTTGAAATATGGTCCGTTGTCACATTAAGATTCTGGGGTAAAGTTAAACGCCAACAATGGGCATTGTAACGGACATCAAACTGGGCTGGGGCCCCGCTATAAAGCAACGGAGAATCTGCAGCCCGTTGAGAGCTTATCGAGTAAGATCGGGCCTGTGGCGAAAATCAACATTGCCCTGTTGGTCAGGTAATCAGTGGAGGTCAACACAGCCTCTTCCATGAGGGTAATAGGGATTCAAAATTCATATAAAGCCACGACATAGTCGCAACGGATGACTATCAATAGGGAAAAAAAAGACTGCCTAGCAACACCGAAACCCAAATTGGGATGATAGTGCGAGAAGCGGCGGAATGATGACCCGTCATCCCGCCCTGTTAGTTAGGGATAAACTGCCACCACAGCGAATGATAGAACAACATGTTCAGCTAGTTGTGGCAGTACTCAAGCCACTTGATAGGATCGTCCACTACCAGCATCAACACGTGATATTGTAAGACGCTGATTCGCTCATGTTGGGTTGCGGAAGGTGCCTATCCTGCTCTTGAAGCCTCGTGAGTTCTTTGGCATGTTGATAAAACTTCAACCTTCTAAACACGAAACATATATTCTACACGACGATTTAGATGCAGGAGGGAAAAAAGCTGCCGACGAGTATCAGTACCTCTACTCTGATCGCTTCTGACACGGGCAATCTATAAGAGCTGCAAGAAGCTACTGAATTACAACCGCTATACAGTTGAAAGCAATCGATCATGGACCTAAATCAAGAATTCACTCCGGGAATGCTGTCATTCACCGAGCAGACCGATTTTGACTACGCCGCCTTTCTCCAAGCTGACGATATCATGTTTGGCGGCGAGGGTGCCCAGACCCAACAGCAAGTACCATCAGATTCCTCAGACAAAGCTACCCCACCAAGCACAACATCAGGGTCTAGTAGTGAACTGGTTGCTCGAACGTCTACTCAGAAACAAAGGCTTGAGCGAAGAGGCCATACCAAGAGTCGAAGAGGTTGCTACAACTGCAAGAGAAGGCGTATCAAGGTATTCAGGCCCGAAGACCCAAGTTCGATGGACTTGCTAACACCAGGAAGTGCCAGGAGACTCGGCCTGCGTGTGGTCACTGCACCAAGACGGGCCTGAAGTGCGAGTATCCATCCATGCCTCAGATCACACACCAGGTGCGTAAGAGGCAAGGTTGAGCAATTGTATCAACTGACAGTCGTGTATGTAGCCGCATCACCAGATTCCTCTATTCAGTCTCCAGGATATGCGCTTCTTCCAGCACTTCCTTACGCAATGCTACCCCCATCATCCTCTGAAGCAAGAGGATGTCTGGACCCATGAGATCCCATGCATTGCTCACAACGTACGGATCCCCGTCAAGTAAAAGGAAACAAGGCACTTACTTATCGGTTTAGCATGAATACCTTATGCACGCAATCCTCGGTTTCTCGGCATCCGAACTTATGAGGAATGACGCCAGTATTGTTTCGTCAGCCATGAACCACCGTATCAAGGCAATAAGAGCAATCAAGAAGCGTCTGGCTGAGACTGCCAGAAGCTCAATGGACCACGAGGAAGCGAACGCCATGGTAGCTACCTGCTACGCACTTACATTCCAGTCCGTGAGCCTGGATGATGGATTGGCGGAATATCTGACCTTCATCCGTGGTATCATGATTGTGGGAATGCAAATGTTGTTCCGAGGTATAAAACCGATATTTGAAAATATGCTGGAACCGGATCAGGATGCCTTACTTGAACCCCTGATGCAGGGTCTCCCACTAATCCCAAAGGGCTATACAGACTCTGCAATGGAGGCTCTTACGAACCTCAAGCCATTGTGTGCGCGGCCAGTCGAGGTTGAGTATCATCAGCATCTCGTCAAAATGGTCGAAAAGCTCTACATCAACTCGTGGGATGGTAAGTCTCTTGATCACACAACACTGAACTGGCATCCAGCTAACTAGACCTAGCATATAAAGCATACACATCACAATACGGCTGGTGGATGTTGCTTCCACACGACACCTTCCAAGCTCTCATTGATCCCGATAACCAGGTCATGATGCTGCTTCACTCACATTGGGTCGCCATCAACGAGATCATGTCTCCTATCAGTGGGCAAGAACGGAATGTATCTGAAAAGTACCCTCCACAGAGAGATGACCAGCCACAACTTGATCCTGGTTTTGCTCGATGGCTTAAACATATCAATGCTAATATCGACCTTGGGCACCAAAGTTACAATCAGTGGCCGATGTGGGTGGAGGAGCAGTTGGATGATGATATTACTTTCTTTGGAAGGGCTTGATTAATGGATTACCCCCAATTATTTAGTTAGTATATCCATGCAGCTTGTTGCAAGATTTTGAGTTCGAAATCTTCTAGTACAGAAACTACATAATTTCTAAAGGTTTGACAGCTCAAGCGACGAGCGTGTTTCTACCATCTCAAGTTACGTTCCCCTTGAGGAAAACGTGAATGCCATCTTTGGATGATGGACCCCTCTAAGATCTTTGGCCACGGCTGTGAAAGGAACAAGATAAGAAACTCAAAGAGGGACAGACAACTGAAGAGGAGAGCGTGAAAGGAGGGAACGAAGAGTCACTAACTCACTCTAAGTACCTATGTTCTCTGTAATTGTCAATTTCCAAACTCTTTACAGTCAGGTTTTGCAAAACTTTCCCTTCTTTAACAGGCCCTTGAAATATCAATTTTTTAGCCCCAATCCGACCCAAGGTCTCAAGTGTAGTCTCGGCACTGCCCCAGCAAAGCCCCCACTACTGAATCTCGCATTCATCGTATTCCACGCGATTGGGTCGGGCGTGGGGTGATGATCATCATATAAGCCAATCATGTTTGGGGACAACCCTCACAGGGCTGAAGGATGCCTTGGGCTATTCCCGTCATTGAGCAACGCGTTATGCCGTATTCTTCGGGTTTGGCAACTAGCCAATTGAAGATCTCAGGGTAAAGAGGCAGATCATATAATGTCATGGGTATATATAGGCCCTATGTCCGCCTTTAAGATGGATAGAAGTTTGAAAGCGAGCATCTGGTAAGACTTGCACCAACGACTTCTCAGCACCACCAAGCCACATTCAAAGAACCGGGTATTCAAAATACTCTTTCCAAAGCTACTGTTATAGAAAAATGTCTACAAAGACTGAGACAATGGCAAGTTCATCCTTCAAACTTGGCCATCATCCCTCTACACACTTGGCACCACCTCCTGACTACTACACTACCCAAGCTGTGGAACTATCACGCCTCTCGCCAGCTATGTCTTCAACAACCTCCCTTCCAGAATATACGACGCAATACAACGTTGAAAACGGAGACTCAGCATCATCCTCTTCAACATCGGGATTCTGTCCTACAAAACAGCTGCAGATCGAAGCTCCTGGGTTTGCACTTATTAGACTTCCTCTACCGCCCCAGCCAGATCCTATCTATGTCTTCAATGTCGCAGCAACGGGAGAACTCGATGATGCGGAGTATGTATCGATTCGGCCTACAAGAAACTCAGGCTCCTGTTTTCTTGCCAGGGCGAACGACCCTACACAAACAGCTCTTTGCACGACCACATACCGCTTTGGTCCCGGCAAGCCTCCCAAGATCCGTTTTGTTGGGGAAGGATCACAGAACGGCCAGACAGAGGAGATCGAGATCAGCTGCAAAGGTGTTCTAACCCGCAGCACCATTATGCGCACTCATCTCGGCACTTTCGAATGGCGATATAGTTCCCGTGCCGAACGTCGAAGTGCAAAATCCTCTGTTGGCGAGGAAGTCGATTGTCTATTAATTCTGGACCAAGTCATGAAAGTAGCCGTTGCAGGAGGAAAGCAAGAAGAGAGAAGACGCAAGGTTGGGCAATTCGTGCGTAGCGATGGACTCCGTACTCAAGGTTCCAGGAGGAGCTCTGCTGGAAATGGTGGGCGGCTTATGCTTGATTTGCGTGAGTGGCTGGATCGGAAAAACGAGGCATTTGAGATGGAAATTCTCGCCGTGGTGAGCTGTGTGTCTATGATGAAGAAAGAGGTGGATAGGCGAAGAATGCATCAGACTATGGCCATCATGGGAGGTGCTTCTGGTGGACCCTAGACTGTTGGTATAGATATGGTACTCCCTCGGATGAGATTGATATCAGTGATAGACTGTATGGATTTAGTTATAGAAATTAACCTTTTGCTTTTCAAGAGACAGTCTCGTTAATCGTGGGCGGATAAATGCTAACCACCACCAAATTACATCCCATATCAGCCATCGGTGTACTTATTCTTGCACATCAGGAACCGCAGTCTTCTCTCTGGGTCCCAGCTCAAGCACCTCAGTCGATGGAATTTGCCCCTTCTCATTCAAGTTGGCATTCTCGAGATCCTTCTTACTGCACTTACACCTGTACCTCACCGAGCACCCCTGCTTCTCGCCAATGAACGGGTCGTTGCGGCATGATTTGCCAAACAACTCCAGCAGCAACACCCACACAGAGAGAGCCAAAGTGATGGATATCAGGTTCAGCGAGTTCAGGCTCTTAGCCAATGGCAAGAGAAACAAGATGAGGCAGACGAGAAGCCTATTGGCCATCCGTGTCTTCTTGGACAGGCGTCTAGTTGCTGGATGGCGATGATCATGTGTGACTGAAATGACCCCCATAAAGAACAGGGCTACAGCAAGGCCTTGACAGTAAAAGTACCGGATACCGTCAGCCATCTCAGGGTCCGAACGCTCGATATAGTGTTCCGTAAGGTGCTCAGGGTTGGCGTCCGGAGTATCTGCGACCCAGACGAGCTTAGATAGCCCGGCAGATGCGAGAATGTAGCCCATGACGAACGGGAGATGAGCGTAGTGCCATACGGACGCTTTGTAGGTTAGTACGGGGTCATTACCATAGCCTGTATAACTTACATGATATCACAGAGCGTCGGATAGCATGGATATTGATGTTGCTGCCGTCGACATCAAAATAGATCCAGTTAAACACAAACGCCTGGCAAAGGCCCAGAACAGCCTTTCCCAAGAATACATCCACGGTATATCCTCCATGACTCTGAAACATTGGCCCCATGACAGAGTATCCAAACACCAGTGAGACAAAGGCATTGGTACGTTCAACACGATGCTCAATATTGACGGCTGGAAAGAACTCGAAGATACCCGAGAGATACTTGACAATCCTCTTGTCGTGAGCAGCCTTTCGGCCGTATTGGTAAACTCCAGTGAGGATGCTCTGGCCGCACATATCCAAGGCGATGGCAACCCAGATGAGTCCCAGACGAGAAGGCATCTCAACATGAATACTAGCGATCCACAGGGCTGCTGGCACAATTATGTTGAGAGCTTGACAGAACATAACACCTCGCACCATTGGCAGCAGGTACCCAGTGTACAAGAAGTGGAAGACACCCCTGAAACGAGCTGCGACATAGAATGATACCAGCATAGTGTAGGTATTGTGCTCGCCAGGATAAAATGCATATGTCATGTTGGTCGAGAACCTAAGAAGTCAGATGGATGAATTCTTGTTGACTATTGCTGACGTACCCCAGAAGACAAGCAATTTCGAACAGAATCTCGAGCCGTGTAAAGACATCGTCCGTCTCAAACCAACTCAAGATCAGAGTGATATCGGACCAGATCTTCCATGACATGATGAACGTGATTGCGAAGCGAAGCAGCTCTTTGCCGGTCGGCTCAGCCCAGACATGCTCGCCGTTGACATGAATGATGCCGACTTTTCGAGCGGTGAGAATTCGTTATCGCAACGGAGTTGGGTCTCTTACCATAAAGAAGATCAAAGAACAGCTCAATGGCCATGATCTCGGTGTTTTCTGAAGCACGCCACAACAAACCTTTGTGAAACCATTGCTTGACCACTGGTTTCTTAAAAAGCTTGATAGTTTCTCCCAGTCGAGGCTGACCTCCACCAGAGCCAACTGAGAGTGTATCCGAAGTTGACATATTGGAGGAGTCTGCAGCTGGTAAGGGGTCATCATCATCATAAGTCCGCAGCTCAGCACCATAACCAAACTTGTCGAAATTGGCATTCAGAGCAGACGTATTGGTAGAGAGTCTTTCTAGGTGGCCATTGACGATATCAAGTTGGCTCTGCATATCTTCCCACTCGTCAAAGGCAGGTCCATGCCGTTGTCGAAAGTGAGCACGGCGACTCTCATGGTGATCTCGGGTCTCTCTTAGATAGTCGCAATGTTCTGGTGATCCGTGGATGACAACTTCAACCTGGACATCATTTCGCTTTCCATGTTCTTCACGTAAAGACTCGAGATCTTCGGGCAGGGAGGCGATGATCTTCTTGCCGTTTGGCAGGAAGAACTCCTGCGGTCGCCGACGTCGAGCAGAGGCAATGTATGACATTTGAGGACAACAGATTGAGTTTGGAATGTCGATAATGTGATGAGACCAAGACTATATGAGGAGAAGGAGCTAAAAAGCTACAAGATAAGCACAGAGCCAATGGCCACAACTCATTGGGCGGCCGACTCTGAACACACAGGCCCCTGCCAATTCGATGCCGCTATCATTGGCTTTTGATGATGTGTCTCACGGCTTATTTGATTGATCCCCGCAAGTGAAGCTGGACAACCATCCATTGTGAAGACACACTACCGGGATAAGCATAAGTATTTCATTTTAAGCCTAACGGGATGCGTAGTCATCATGACTAAGTGATTGAAAATAATTGCATTTTATTATTGAGAATAATACCGGTTGCCTTATGAATGGGTTTTCATTGAGAAGATCAATTCGGGAGGATTCAATTAGCCTTACGTAGGAAATTAGGTAGATCTAGGAACGCAAGGGTCTTCCCGCTACACTAAGATGGAGGAGATCTAGTCACGTGATGTACCTTCCGGCTGTTTCCCGGCTTATGACCGTATTCTGCCTAAGGCCGCAATACTAGCTCTGCCATTGCCCGGTAATTCGGAGCAAAGATTCAGTAGCCATCACCAACTACCAAAACCCAACCCTCCGAATTCAACCTCCAACACCGCCAAAATGACTGCTGCGTGGAGAGCCGCTGGTCTTACGTACGTCAATTGAACTCCCAGGCACTGCCGACTACAACGTCTCCCACCGAGCGACCGTACCGAAACACCGAGAAGCTAACATTGCGTTTCGATAGCTACAACCGCTACCTGGCCATCGCTGCCCGCGTTGTTCGCCGAAGCTTGAAGGAGGACAAGAGAATCGCCGCTGAGCGCCGAGGCGAGATGGATTTGCGATTCTCCAAGTGGCAGGTAAGGCGATACGGAACCGAAAAGACGGCGAGGGGAAAAAAAGCGACGCAGACTAACATGTAATTACCTCAACAGAACGGTAAGCAGGGTGAGCCCAAGAACCTCGCCGCTGCCAACGCCGCCATTGCCGCCGAGAACGCTGCTTAAGCAGATCGATTTGGAGATGATTGCGTGTGGGATAATAGAAGCGTGGCACTCGAAGGGGTTACTCGGTTCAGATGAGATGGACTTATTCCTCAGCCGAATGCATACACCTGGAGCCACTGTACCATAACGATTGTTGCAATGTATCAATCAAAATCAAAACTACGACTGCAATTGGAGGCAAGAATGGAATTGCTGGTGAATCAATGTAGTGATGTAAATGATTTCTATTGTGATGCTCGCGGTGGGACGTCCGCATCTCAACTTTCTGTCACACCCGGCTACAGCCGAAATAGTAGCTACGGCTCCGCTAACGATGTGTATCAACACACATGACCAGGTTGCTATGAAATCCGTGACTTCTGCCTCCTTTCTACTGTAAAACTTTAATGTACTTTGGCTTTTGTATCAATTTCACTGTCATAACAGCCAAGCTTGGTAGTACATCGAATATTCTATCGTTGTACGTAGCAGTGGATCCATCATCATCATTGGATATATCATCCTATCTCCCTTGCTGCTCACAATCATCTTCTATCAAACAAACATCGATCTAATGCTGTATTTCAGCACTACCACCACCACGCAAACGTATAGTATTATTATTATTTAATGCAATAGCTTGGCGCTTTGTTTAATCAATATGGACGATATCGGTAGCGGAATTCAAGATGGTAGGTGCCCAATTCTGCCTTACGCTTCCTTAGGTCCTGAGTGCCAATGTCGTCAAAATCTGACTTTGGGAGCACAGATATCGCGAGAATATCGCTAGATCACCAATATGAGCTGCCACCTCCGCCACCTCCGGATATTGCGACTGCAGGGATAGTCGCAGTGGACATCACAGATAAATTCGCACAAGCTGTCAAGAGTAAGTTCTTTGTCGCTGACTTTCGTTCATGACCCCGCCGTTGACCAAGTCTGACCAGCTCTCGCACCCGGTCAACTTGTTAAAGATGGGGGATTTACCCTGTTCGAGTCAGTTTCAGGGCTTGAGGTTCGTCTATCGTGAAGTAAAGCTGGGCTCAACACTGATATGCTTAGATTATGGATCCTAAAATGGATAGCGGCTGTGTTGAATCAGCAGAGGAGCTTGAAGAGCTCTACGATGTTGCGCGGCCACTGCTCCCAGAAGAGGTGCTGGGGATTATAGACCAGCTTCTCTGTCATGAGGTAAGTGCTTCAGTAACAAAGCAAATATTTATACTAATAATGTTGCTCAGATGGCGTGGCATCAGGGATATCCTCTTTCGCAGACTCTTTTCACCAGTGTATACGCTGAGGCACTCCTGACACCCACCCCACGAACTGTCGAGGACGCTCATTTCATTCGAAATGGCTCATCTGATCCTTCTGGACAATCTGACATGCTTATAATATTGAGAGCGTACTGTCTTGGTCTGCTCAAAGCTTGCGGTTATGTAAACGAACGGATTAGATCAGAACACTACTATGAAGTAAGTGTGAGCCGATGTCATGGCAAATAGATCATTTTTGGCTAACGCATTCTTTCAAGGAGGAAGATTTCGTGACAAACACATATAGTCGCACCCTGCTTGCTGAGATACAACCCCAGGCTATCCGGCAGGCTATCCAAGAAGCAAGAGACCTACTCAGCACATTATCTACCGGCGTCAGCGATGGTCTTCGGGAAGCACTTGACCAACGACTGCAGCTAAGGTTGTACTTTCTGGATGCCACAGAATGCCCCAAATACGTGAAAGAGCCCGATGTTGCGCGAAAGCCATGGCTTGAAGGACTCAAGGTTCTTCCAGCCATCAAGTCATCTCACACCCTGGGAAAACCAGTCGACGAGGCCTTTAGTGCCAAACTTCAACGAAAGCTTGCTAGCACTATGCCCCCTAGACCGATTGTGCAGTTGAAATTCGAGGATGCATATGGCCATCTTTCAAGACTGTTCACGGATGGTGTTGAATTGATTGATGTACTAAACTATACGGACTCACAATGTCTACAAGTAAGCATCCGATTGTTCTTTAGAGAATGTCAACGCTAAACATTTTTAGAACTTTGTCTTGCAATTTCAAGCCAAGAAGCCTCAACCGCTAGTTTTCGTGCGGACTCTACTTCAGACTTTCCTTTTTAACGAGATGGAAGTTCTGGGATCAATGAGCATCCGGCAGATCATGGATAATGACTTTTCTATCGTGTCGATGCCGGCCAGCGCCCAACTTGATCGAAACAACGACGAGATCGAATTCCCCCAAGATCCGCGATTCATTGTTGCGCAACAAATGGAACAGTTTCGACAAAGAGCGGCTCAATCATTTCTCGATATCTTCAGAACCTTTTGTCAGAACAGGTGTCGTGTGCGGCGCACGCTCTGCCATATCATCAGGGACTGGGATAATCTCCAGCTCGATGCTGAAGAAATCGATCAAATTATCCAGGTCAAGTTAAACGAGAAGCCAATGAGGCAATTCACGGGAGCAAATTCTCAACCAATCGACTCCTACTCCCTCCCACTATCGTCCTGGACGTACTTATACAAGATTCGCCAGATGGAATGGATTGTACAGCTCGGTTTCGAGCTAGAAGTCTATCAGCCAGACGAACTTGCCGGTATGTATTGGTATTTGAACTACCTCGCCAAATGGAGAGTTCAGCATACAGAAAGGCTCAAGTCCTTCATTGTTCGAAGAGTCGAGGAATCTCGCGAACCTTCTCAACCGCGAAACCCTTCAGTTGATCGCCAACTTGAGCGATCTCTTGCCTTTATCCGACTTATGCTTCTCGATGCCGCTGTTACATGGGAATTGTCAGATGCGCTGTCATGTCTTTACACAGCTCTCATGCGGCTTGAGTTGGTCAAGGTGCCGCCGCGACCTTACAGTAACGACGAATTCCGCTTTGAGCTGCGGATGAGACCGTTCGCCGTGATTGGTTTGCCGCCTTGCCCGGGCTTTCAAGAATTTAATCTTGGAACCACGCAACCAGAATCGTCCACGGTGGATATTCTTCAATATGCAGAAAGAGCTCTGAAGGGTGCAAAGCAGGGGCTTGAGGTTCTGAGCAAGTTGTCCGCGGCAGATTCGTTCTCAGTTGGTTCTCACGATAAATGGCAGACTTCAAAGAAGAACGCGCTCAAAGCTTGTATTGCAACAGGGCTCGCGATTACGGCCGCACTGAAGGCATCAAAGGAAGATGCGAGTAATCTGAAGCTCAGAGCTGAGGTACCAACTCCTGATAAGTGCTATCATGACTGGTGGATTGTCCCTCGTCTGGTTCCTGTCTGAAGCTTGTTGAAAGAAATCCGTGTATAATGACAAAAAGAGCTTAAATTGAATTGTTACATCAAAGCCGCCTTAGCGTATTCGGGTATCCAGATGAGAGCAGCACCCTCTTCCAATATTCCTGGTTACCAGCCCTGGTTTCAAACACCAAACAGAATATGAACTAATACTAGGTATATAGAAGATACAACGCCATTTCCATTGCGACAATTTCGATAACAAACCGAACGCATCCTCACCGCAAATGCTTTTCGGTAATCGGAATGAGATACCGAGAATAATTGGGGATCTTCAATCCCGGTTCTGATAAGAAGACAGGTCTAGTGGGACCAGTGCTTAAGCTAGCTTAAGCGGCAACACGTCGGCGAGCGGCCTGGGCCATTCGGAGACGAACGGTCTGCTCATAGAGAACGTCCTTGAAGGCAAAGAGGAGCGCAGCAGTGAGGACGCTCTGGGTGACCTTAGGGCCGATGCCTGTTGATGAGAGTCAGTGAATTGCTAAACAAGATGGAGACTTGATATTTTACCTCGGTAGAGACCAGAGTAACCACTCTCACGGACGATGCGAGAAAGAGCGCTAAGGGAACCCTCCTTCTTACCGCTGCCCTGGACGTGCATCTGAGACTTGACGGTAATGTAAGGGTAGGTGATGGCAGTGGCAAACAGCTTGCCCAGGGCGCCGAGGAAGAAGGCGATAGTGGGGGTCACCTTGCGACGCTTCTCAACTGTGTTCTTGAGCTGCTCGAAGAGAGTGTACTGGAGAATAGGGTTGATAACGAGGACAAGAGCCGGGATGACACCAGAGAAGAGAGCTTGAGGACCCTCGTTCTTGAGGAGCAGCAGCAGAGTGCCGATGGTGCTGGGAGCCTTGGCAGGCTTAGACTCGCCGGCCTCGACGTCCTGCTTCTTCTCCTGCTGGCGAGTGGTGACTCGGGTGTTGACGACCCAGATGGGGTTGGTGATGATGACGGTGGCCGAACCAGCGATAGCACCAGCAATCATGGACTCAACGGTGGTGAGCTTGGCGCCAGCGCGACCGGCCTTGGCAGCAGCCTTCTCGAAGAAACCGCGAGTCCATTCATACCAGTAGTAGTAGACAAAGTTGGTGACGCTGATGCCGAAGAGGGCCGAGTTAATACCGGAGTAGAGACCAGAGATACCCTCGCGGGCGATGATGTTGCCAACAGCCTCGCTGAACTTGCTCTCGGCCTTCTTAGACTCGACCTGAGCGCGTGTGGAGAGGGTGATGAGAGGGTAGCTTGAGATATCATCAGCGCACTGTGATGCGTCATTGGGGGTCTTCGCAAGCCTTACGTCAGGATCATGGACAGAAGACCACCTCCAGCGCCAGCAAGAGCGTGAGCGACATTGTCGTTCTGGGGGATTGCTTGGGTCTCAGGCGCCGTGCTGATTTCGACCTTGTTAGGAGTGATCTCGACCTTTGTCACAGGCGTATCGATCTGAGGAGTGGTCTCCTTTTCGGCGTTGTCTGACATGATGCCGTTTGTAAATGGTCGATGTACTGTAGTATACAAGTTTAAGCTTAAGCGAGGCGCGTGTAAGCGATATTTATTATATATGTAGGACAGAAATGGATCGAATTGAATTGATGGGGAATGAACAGTAATTAAAAACCCGGGGAAGAGAAACTTACAAGTCGCGCGGGGCCGTGCTCGATTATAGGTGCCCAGCTGGATACAGTACTGTATTTAAAGCTTGTAAGGAAAGACAGTAGGTATTGGAGGGAGACTTGTATCTCGGGATCGGCAATGACTTGACTCGAGAGCTAGAGAACGTCTAGTTACTGTAAGGCCTGCCTAGGTATCTCAGGTAGGTCCCTCTCCCTAGATATACCGTACCGAGGTCGGGACGGGAGTTGATACCGAGTAAAACTTCCCTAAAAGTCGGCCTCTGTTCCGCATCTGACAATGAGGTCACTTCCCTGCATGTGATGTGGGGAAAAGGGACAAGACCTTGGGCCGGTGACTTGAGATCTTTACCGTCTGGCGCTAGTACCAATCGAGGCACAAGACAACAGTCCAGCCATTCAAGCCACGGAGTCAAGGAGAAACAGAAAATGCGGGCAAAGTTCACGCTTTGTCCCCGCTTGCCTCATTGGGACCAAAGTAAACACTGGACCCATGCCGCCACGTCTATCCCTGTCCAACAAGTCCAACAAAGCACAAAGCACACCGCGGGTTGGTTTTGGATTTGCAACGGAGGGACGGCGGTAGTGTTTGCATACACCATGACTATTTTGAATTTCGCATTCCAGCATCCCATGAATGATTAACGAAACCACCATTCGTCAATGCCAAAACGCAAAAGTTTAGGCGTTGACAACGACTCTTTTGCCGTTCGCTGGCATTCTTTTGCTGATATGAACACACCCAGCGCGGATATTATGTCGTCACCCGATCCTCTAAACGATACCGTTGAACAAAGTGTCATGCCCCCTCCATCCACGCGCCGTGTCGTCCGCAGCAGCCAACGGTCCAGCCGCTTCTCCTCCATGGGCTTAGGAACCTCTCCTAGGAAACAGACTTTCGAACTCGAGGTTGGAGATAATAAAGCGCCCCAGAAATTACTAGTTACGGTCGAGACAGAGGAACCAAGCGCGACTGCAGGCCCCAGCAGCGCGCGACGAAAACTATTCCAAGACAGCCCTTACCTACCGATCTCGCGACGCAGAGAAATGGCGACCACCACCACGACTGTGCCGCTAAAGGGGGCGATCGAGGAGGATAACAACGCGACTCCTAGGAAACGAGGACGACCGAGGAAAACAAACGGCACACCGCTACCCAGTGCAGGCACCAAGAGAAAGTCAATAACACCGATGCATGGAAGCCCCCGGAGAAGACAACGCACGACAAAAGACACAGATACGCCGAATAAATCGGCAGAAAGTAATGCGCAGCCAACACCAGGAACAAAAAGACGAGGCCGACCACCGAAGAACCCTCCTGTTAACCCGCCAAATCCCACAGAAGACGAACAAAACGCGAGGGGGATTTCAGAGACGAGTAACAGATCAGAAAGTCAAGCTCTCGATAAGATTGAGGTTGCTGGTGATGCCTCTGACCTGCCCTCTCTCCGCGCCGACGACTCACAAGCCGACAACGATGTGACTCTGGTCATCACACCGTCAGAAGCTGAGGCAAATCAGTTACGCGCAAACCGAACCGCGAATAATAGCGCGCCTGCTCAGCAAGAAGAACCGGACTCAGATATTTGGATGGCAACATTAGACGATGAACCAACGCCGCGGCCTGGGAGTCGCGCAACCCAAAATGCGCCTGCTCCTTCAAGTCCAGACCATGGACGAGCAGATGATTTCTCAGATTTTGGAGATTATGGCTATGGACCAGCTGGAAGCGACGTATCTTCGGCAGACGAACCTCAGAGCGACACTCGTTCTGGGAACGAAGACACGGTCGCCGCGGGTGAAGACTTTAGCATGATATTCATGGACTCGCTGCCCTCGCTACAAGCGAGTATGCGCAGCTCTGTTCGAGAGATCGCCGAAAACGACATTGGCGAAGAAACCAGCCTAATTATTAACAACACTTTGGAGTCTCTACGGCAGTCTCTGCAGGATCGCGATAGACCTAACGTGAACAAGAAAACCGCTGAGCAAGAAAAAGAGCCCCAACCACCAGCACCCGCTCCCGCTGCGCCTCGAGATGAACGCCGACAATCTAGTATTCGCCCGCCCATGACCTTTTCACCCAACCGCAACTTATCTTCCATATGGCGTCAGACTCCGCGAAGAATGGGCTCTTCTCCATTGCGACGGCAAGTGTTGCAGTCAAACACGCGAGAAAATCTGGATGCTGAATATCGCGGATCTCCTCTGGCAACACAACGACAAGACTCCTCACATCTCGAAATCGATAATTCAAACTTGTACGACGACTCTTTCTCAGAGATACCTGACGCAGTACTTGAAGCAGCCACTCCCCGCCGTCCTCGAGCCACGGCCAAGAAAGCCCCATCAGAGACAGAGGATGTTGAAATGGAGGATGCGGACCTTATCCAATTTGAAGATGAGCCCCAGCAAGCAGAGATACAGCAACAAGAGCAAGTGGTCGAAGAACAAGATGCAGAAACAGAAAAGGAGACAGTCGAAGATCAAGATTCAGTCGATGAGCAAGAACAAGAGGAGGCTGAACCTCCAGAAGCTTCATTCGGAAGCGCTATCTCTCGTTCGGATGGCGGGCGCCTCCCCACCCCTGACGACACCCCTCCAAATATCGATTTTGGAAACAATACTGCCCCGAAGTCAACAAGCGTATCGCAGAGTCCAGCTAGGTCTACATCTTCCAGAGACTCACTGCCGAGGAACTCATCACCTGAGCCCGCCACCGAAGCTCAGGTATCACCTGAAGCGATAGAGATTGAAGACGAAATCGTTGATCAAGCTGTTGAAGCGACTGGGAAAGTCACCAACGAGGCTTTTGTTGAAGTCGAAGTAGCCGAAAACAATGATGAACATGTCATGGATATGACTATTGTCCCTGAACCTGATGACCATTCTGCTGCAGATGATCAGCCCTTGGAAGAGACCGTTATGGAAGACCCGGTCGAAGAGCAACCTGAAGAGGCCCAAGAGATTCCTGAAATCGTTGTCCCTCAGCAATCCCATTTGTCCTTGGAGGCCGAAATGCAGCAGCCAGAAGTCACGCCACTAAATCAACTTACATCGCCTATCCAGGAACCTCAATCGTTGCCTGATGTGCCACCAGAGAGAGTCAGACGTCCCACATTGTCCCCCATTATGAGGGCGGGGAGAGCTTTGCAGAGCGTGACCTCGGATCCTCCAACGCCGGAGGCCCGCGACCATCATTTGCGAAGCCCTTTCAGGCGATCTGCTTCTAGAGAGCTGGGTCCAAGGGTAACTCTGCCAAATCAACGGACGAACGCGAGTCCTGGGAAGTCCCGTCCACTCACCGAAACTGCCCAGATCTCCAAAGATAATGAAGTCTATGACGACCCCTTTGGAACAAACACCAGACATACAGGTCAAGCTAGCTTTATGGAAGCTCTTGAGCGGAGAAGTGCTGGTTCGTCTCCACGCCATCGCCGAACAATGTCCAGGGAATCTGCAGCAAGCTCTACACATTTCCAGGCTCCCAGTGAGGGTGGAATGAGTTGGGTTGATAGAGAAGGTCCTATAAGTGACAACCTCAGAGGAGATGTACCCCTTGAGGCTTTTGCACGATCAACAGCCAGACCCCCCGAACGGCATTCCATTTCTCATGACCAATTGGACGGGCCGGTGGATGACGCAGATGACGAAACCGAAGATGCCGGCGATGATATGGATCTGTGGGAGTTTGAAGCCCAAAGATCTAGCCCTCATGCAGCCCGTCAGCCTTCACCAGCGAGGAAACCCGAGTCACCTATCCCCAGACGAGGCACTCTCCCAAGCCCTTGGAGGAGGCAGGCCAACAGGGGAACGCAACGGCCCCCAAAGGCTACAGACCAGACAAGGAATGAATTGGAAGAGAATGAAGAACACCTGGAAGAAGAGACCGCGCTTCAACCTGAAAGCATGGATGTTGTGCAGGACGAACCATCTCAAGCAGAGGAGTATTCTCTTGTCGCTCAAAGGGATGTTCCTCAAGAATCCGATAAGGCTCCTGCTACCGCCAAAGCGAGCCGTTTCGACCTCTCAACTTTCTTCTCCTCGCCGGCCGCGATCCCAGGCATGTTGGCTGACAAGCTCTCTCCTCTTAAGAAGATGTCCGTCTTTGGAGCGCGGTCCACTGAGACCGAGCCTAGGCCGACGGAGACAGTTCAAACCCTCCCGACAAGCTCCATGTTCCCACAGCTACCACCAGAGGAGCTTGTACCTAGAGGGCAGCCAAGGGCAGGCTTTTTCTCTCCTATACGCCCTGTTCAGCCCCCGGTGAGGAGAGACCAGTCTGAAGAACCTGAAAACGATGAATATTCTCGGTCAGATTCACTGTCGAACATGTCATCGCCAAGCCGACAGGAAACGGCTTCCCCGAGACAAGAAGAGCACGACACTTCTATGCCGGAAACATCTGAGCAACAAAATGAGAGTGTACAGCAGGAAGAGCTCGACGAGGAGGGCACAGAGGTACTTGAAGAAGAAGACGATGAAGATCAAGTATCCGAGCCACTGCCTTCAGTACCTCAGAAGATGAACTTTACTCCGCAGCGGAGAAATCCTAGTCAGAGTTTCTTCAAGGCTTCAACTCAGGCTACTGCCCCTGACCATGCCCCTATTCCGAGTAGTAGTGCCACCACTCCACCGAGGATGCAGCTCACTCACGCCGATATACAAAAGTGGCAGCAGCAAACATCCAATGCAAGTGAAGATTCCCCCAAGCGACCCACAGCTAGTACTCTCCTCCGTCCTTTACCTCCCAGGAACGCTTCCCCGATCAAATCTAGTCTCCGTTCGCCACTTAAACCTCACACTCCTGGCCGCGTGGTTGAGTTTACCAGCAGCGTCCTATCTCCCATCGAGCAAGCCAAGGTTCGACACCAACGTCGACTATCCAACTCCTCAGCAGCATCTCAGTCAAGCACAGGTGCTCAGCGTCCTGGTGCACCACAGCAAACTGCCAACAAGGAGAATAACACTATCCCGCAAATCCCTATCTCTAAAGAGCAACTCTCAACAAAACAGACTCACCCTGAACCGCTCTCCCAAACGGTTTGGACACGAAGACACTGGCTGCTCTTGAATGATCTTGTTCAACAGAGACGTCAAGGCCCCTTCAGGCTTCATTTTGAGCGCTGTTCAGACAAATATCTTGGAAGGCCTGTCTCAAGCAAAGGCGAGTCAATGACGCTGAAGCGTTGGCACTTGGACTGCATCGACGCTTTCAAAGCACAAGTCGGTGGCTGGGATGAAGTTGAAGTCGTCAAAAGATTAGCTGGCTTAATTCTGGGCGGAGAGAAGAGGAGCCAAGGGGCTGAAAAACCAGCGCGGGTTATGTTTCACTAAACGACATGAAAGAATCCTGTTTTTACAAATGGTTTGGTTTGGTTTGTTTTTGTACAGAATCACGAATATGGCATAGTTAGCATTTCATGAGGCGTTCTGTTTCATGAGTAGGTGGCTGTTATTGTTTGGAGATACCAGATACCGCGTGTTTGTATCCTTCATGCTTTCTTTGCATATGACTACATACCCCTGTCTTGCAGCGCAGTCTGTTGGAAGCGTCAGCATATATAGTTTTGGTTGTTCGTTTCAGATATGGTTGTGCAAACAAATGAATACGTGTATACACCGCTCCGCATATACGGCTCTGTTCCCTCTTGCAACACCTGGTCTAAGAGTGTGAGATATATTACATACAACAACTATTGTGCCTCTCATTGCTAATCTATTCCAGCATGGAAGCTTGGTTCGTGTAAAGCACATCCACCACACTGCTCAGTTTCTCGATTGTTGCCAGAGCCGCATCATAGGACTCATCCCGGTGCGTCTCGTCAAAGATGATGAGACAACCAGCGCCCTGGTCCAAAACACCGATAATAACCTTGTCCAAGATCATCTGAGACAGTTTTCGCTCAACCTGCTGAGTGTCAAGGCCAACCATCTTGGCAATGTGGTCGATTTCGACGCGTGAGAAAGGCTCGATGACCTTGATGAGGTTCTGCTCCAGCATAGCATCGTAGAGGCGGCGGAGGTGGTTGCGGATAAAAGCGTCGCTACCGAGCTCATATCGGTAGGAAGAAAGTGCTCGCTCATACTCCTCCAGTGATCGATTCGAGTGTGCGCGAGCGATGGCCTTCATGGCCTCTAGGTTCTTGCCAGCGTACTTGAGGGCTTGCTTGGAAGTCATAAGGTTGTTGACATCGTCAACAAGGTTTAGCATGATCTTGCAAAGAAGCATGTACTGAAGAGCAGCCTGAGCGCGGGGGCTCTCATCTTGAGAGTGGTAGCCATCGAGAGCCTCAATGAAGTAAGAGAAAGCGGTGTTGAAGTCCTTGTCCTCAGCATGAAGCATACCGCTCTGCATGTCGAGGTTAGCCTGTAGCATCGGAGGGGTGTATACGCTGGCGGCGCTTGTTCGTGCACTTGTAAGAGCGGCACGGGACTTGGGGATGTTGCCAAGGGCGTGGTAAACTCTCGACTCGAGGAGCTGAACTTCGACGAGCCGGAGCTTGTCATCGAGGCGCTTGAGCTCGCGAAGAAGGTTGTTAATGAGACCGAGGGCTTCGTAGTAGGATTGCTTTGCCATCTGGAGAGTGACAAGGCGGACCTCGAGGTCCTGTCGCTGAAACGCGCGGCGCTCGGCGGTGGCCCATTCTATACAGTCCTTGGTGACGGAGATTTCGATATCGGTGCTATCGGGGATTTCCTTGATGAGGTCGAGCAGTTGGCGGACTACATCACCGCGTTAGCTAGCTGTTAGACCTCGAGGCAGGATCATGTGATGCTGAGAACCTACCAAGCTTTGCTGACTTGGCCTTTGCGAAAGAAGAGAAGACCGTTCTGCTCTCCTTGACCAGGGTCACCAACTCTTGGGTATTCCTGTCGTATTTGTTAGCGGGGCACAGGAACAGCGGTGTTGAGGAGTGCGCACTTCTCATCTCGATACAGCTCTCCTAAGCTAATCAGAGCAGTCTCGTACTCGCGAGTGGCAGCATCAGATGTGGTGCTAGGAGCCTTGGAAATGATGTCCTTGTAGATGGCCTCAGCCTTTCGAGGGTCGGACTTGGCAAGCTTCTGCGCTTCCTGAACCCTCGCTGATTCGGCCGCCGCCATTGTGAAGGATGTGTTTGCGCGTGCCGCTGGATACAATCGTGGGTGAGAGGTAATGCGCTGTGAAGGCAGAGTCGAGACTTGGGGGGCGCTGAAGAGCAGTGGTCGTTATCTTGAAGTTGTTTGGTTAGAGGTATGTTGAAGCAATAGCATAGCGAACAGCTACCTAACCTTAGCCTCTAGGTTGCCAGAGCACGACGTAGGCCAGTAAAAGAGTGGATCCTGCAGCGAGGAAACAGCCCGCCTAGGGTATTAGTTACATCAATGATGCAGTGACGGGTTTTTGTTGATCCGCATACACAGTACATAGGCCTTAGGTAATTCCAGATGGGTACGTATCAGATCCTAGATATGGCCCTTGCCCTGCTATTGCCCGCCGAATGGAAGCTTCCCGTCCCCGGAAGAGAAGCCGGCGCGACCCTTCTAAATGCGAAGCGAATCAACCATGCCGACAGCTAAAATTTCAGTCCTAACTCGGAGCTTCCAAACTTCCTGATACCTACCTACCCACCACAGCCACTGTACACTTACTCAAGTGCATCAGCCTATCTCCGTCGAGTCTTCCTCGTAATTTACTTTGTTGCTACCGAAATCTAAAATTTAATTCCTCATATACCCTGACAATGTTCCGCCAGGCTATTGCTTCCTCATCCCGCGCTCTGCGAGCTGCTCCTAAGGTTGCCGTCCCCCGACCTTTTATTCAGTCGCAATTCCAGGCTGCGCCCGCCTTTGCTCTCAGATCCGTTCAGCCCGCCGTTTCGAGATGGTACAGTGACGCCAAGGAGACTGAGGCCAAGCCTGCTGAGGAGGCCAAAACGGAGGAAAAGCCCGCTGAGGGTGACAAAGAGAGCGATCCTCTCGCTGAGCTCAAGAAGGAACTTGCAGCCAAGGAGAACGAGGTTGTAGACTGGAAGGTTTGTGATAACCAAATATACAATTTGATATGGGAAGACTGACTCTCTTGTAGGATAAGTGTATGCGCACCGTCGCCGACTTCCGCAACCTTCAAGAGCGTACCACACGTGAGGTCAAGTCTGCTAAAGATTTTGCCATCCAAAAATTCGCCAAGGATCTTGTCGACAGCGTCGACAACCTCGACCGCGCCCTTGGAATGGTTCCCAAGGATAAGCTCAACGCCCCAGACCGACCTGAGGGCCTGGAGGATCTCGCCAACCTGTATGAGGGTCTCAAGATGACCGAAGATATCCTCATGAACACCCTCAAGAAGCATGGCCTCGAGCGACTCAATCCCGAGGGCGAGAAGTTCAACCCCAACGAGCAGGAGGCCACTTTTATGACTCCTCAGCCCGATAAGGAGGATGGCACTGTTTTCTTCGTTCAACAGAAGGGCTTCAAGCTTAACGGCCGGGTGCTGCGCGCCGCCAAGGTCGGTGTTGTCAAGAACAAATAAGCATATCGTTCTTCCATAATGACGGAGATGTGTGTTTTGATGACATCTCCACACTCAATCGCATCTTGCGTGTATTTTTAGACGAGGTTATATCGGTTGGCGTTGGCTCTATGTATAATGCTCCCCTCATGATGGTCATTTTTCAACTTGTATGATGGTTACAGATGCTTGGACAGGAGAAAAGTTTCAAAAGAGCTGGGACATTTGTACATAAATAACAATACGTACATGTATAACAGTGGGGGCAACTGGGCGGTATAGTCGACCTAAGAAGGTCTTTTCAGGTCATGATCCATAATGTCCAGAGGTAAAAATGAATAGGTACCTAAGCTGGCAACTCAGCTATGATGATGAAGAAGCATGTGAAGCGGGTTTGTGCAAAAGATAGTCGCAATGTGGTTATAGAACTCGCGAAATAAACCTAGAAGTAAATAAATAAATCATGAACTGATTCTTAATCTCACCGCCGTGCCGTTGTGGCAAAGATTTATTTATTTAGCAGGGTTCACGGGCTGAAGTTTATATTCGAAAGTATGACTCAGTCTTTATTCACTCAACTGATGAGTTACAAATCTATCGCAGGAGGCGTTGATATACATCACAGGAATGCACGTATTTAGTTGTAAACTTTGATTCCAGCGATCCTATCAACTCAGTACAACCACGCACCAAAACACTAACAAAAGGAAGGCCATCAAAACACCCGGCACCACAATTTGCCTGGTGCCAACGGTAGGATACATATAAAAAAAAAACAGCCTGCAACTCTAGTTGCTCCCCTATCTCATAAGTCACTTTCAGATAATAAAAAAAGCAAATACAAATGTGCGCGCTTCCTCCCGTGCCATGCCATACTTTCGATCCCGAACTATGTCCCCCTATCCCTCCGAGATACATCTCTTGTGTAGGTGAACGCCTGCGATGTCCTCTCTCTGGGCCTGTTTACCTACCACGAGTGAGTTCCTTATCAATGTTAAAACAGCAATGAAGGTAAAGAAATAACGTAAATGTGAATCGTTATAAGAAACAATGTTCATGCGATGGTCATTACAACTCTTTTAATGCTGGCCCATCGAGCTGCCTTTTCTTTGTGGGGCCCTCCTGGCCTCCCCTCCCCAGGAGAAGATGGCAAGGGAGGCTTTGCAAGACAATGATGAGTAGAAAAGTTCCTCAATCCAAGAAATCAATCTTTCATCCATCTCTGGCCGTGGGCGCCTTTAGAGGATTGGACACCTTCTCTTCTTCCTCTTAATCTGTCCCACCCCAGGTGTTGATGACTTGCTCTCCTTGGAAGAACCTGAGGCTGCTGCCGCCTCGATGGTTTTCCGGTCATTAGCGACGACAGTGTTGATAGCCTGCTCAAAAATCTCGTCGACGCCTGACATTTCCTTGCTACTGCACTCCATGTACTGCGCGTTCATCTTCTTAGCAACGGCCATACCTTGCTCCGTGGTGACTGGAGTAAGACCTTGCGTCTTGAGCATATCAATGCAAGTCTTCTTGTAACGAAGATCTGACTTGAGACCCACAAGAACCAGAGGAGTGTATGGGCAGAAGTGTAGAACCTCGGGGTACCACTATAGAAGAGTGATTAGTACAAGATGCGCTGAGAAGGGAAAGGATATGATCGTACCTTATCAAGAACGTTGTCCAGCGAGTTCGGACAGTCGATAGCAAAGCATACAAAGATCAAGTCGGTCTCAGGGTATGAGAGCGGTCGGAGACGGTCATATTCCTCTTGGCCGGCTGTATCCCACAATGCAAGTTCCACAGTCTTACCAGTGGCTGAGTGGATAGGATAGGTGATGTAGTTTTCAAAGACAGTAGGCACATATTTCTGTGGTTGTTAGTCTCGGTACGCTGAGAGTAGCTACAGAGAGCTGCTTACCTCTGGGAAGTAACCTTGGCTGTAGCTAATGAGCAAGCAGGTCTTGCCGCAACCGCCATCACCGACAACAACAATCTTCTTGGAAAAGGTAGGCGCTTCTGTGACGTGAGTCGCTGCCGACTCACGGCCCGTCGACGAGCTCATAGTGGTACTGACGGTACCCTCACTGGAGCGCGTGCGCTGTTGACGTCGGATCTGCTCGTTGGTATCAAAGTACGAAGTGCGATACTGATGCGATGATGCCATGCTTGGGCGCAAAGCTATGCTGCAGGGTCGGGAGTGCAGGCTCAAGCGCGAGTCTTTTAGAGGATTGCTTGGCCTTTGGTAGAGATTGCCTTAAGAATGCGCTTCTGAGGAATGAAGAATGTTCGGCTGTATAGTGCTCGTGATGGTGCGGGGTGGAAGAGAGACAAAGCAATCGAGCGTTTAATGCGATGGAGCAAACGGGGGAGATGAGTGATGTGGAGGAGGAGGGCGAGGGCGAGGACGAGCTAAAGATCAAGAGGAAGACGATCAAGGGCCTAATTGAGTCGAGTTGAGATGCTTGGGGCTAAGAAGGGATCCTTTAAAAGATGATTTTCTTGTCTGGTAGAGCTCCTTTGCCTGTGTTGACTCGGATTTTGGGTTGTTTGTTTGCTGCAAGTTTAAACTTAGTCGCTTCAAGACCAAAGAGTGGAAGGACTATGGGGAGTCAAGTCTCAAGTGTGGCTTTGTTGCACCACCAAGTTACCCGAGTAAACATGTTGACGGGGCAACTGCTATCTTTATCCGGGGAGTTACCTTACCTTACTTCATGCATCGGAGCTGAAAATGACGGAGATGATTGGTCCGTGCACGTGCTTTGGTTGCTCGCTCACGAGAAAATTTCCAAGCCAAGGTCACTCACTTTCTCGCTTCTTTGTTCACGACAAGGTCCTACCTACTGAGTTTTAGCGCGTGTTTGCTCCATAGGTATCCATTCAGTCTCTGCCTATTTCTGCATCTCCTCTCCAAGAAATTCTCGTCTCTCTTTCTTTCTTCCCTTTCTTTCTTTTGCAAACTTGTCGACAGCAACGCAGCAAAGAACATCCAGCCATGGACTGGAAGACACCCAGCAAATACATCACTCTCGTTTCTGGCGACGGCTTCGAGTTTGTCGTTCTACGCGATGCTGCTCTTGTCAGTCCAATCATCAAGGGCATGCTCGACGTCAGAAGCCAGTTCGCCGAAGCCAAAGAGGCCCGTTGTGTCTTCCAAGAGATGAGGTAGGTTGATATCATCGACATGCCATCCTCTCCAGGTGGCCTGCTCCGTGGATTGATGACACTTCATCACGCTTTCCAGACAGAACAACCGAGATCTCTCAGTTGGGCTGCATGACTACTCACTACACTTGACCTGACCACACGCACCCCAAGCCCGGTCGTGCCTTGTCTCCGCTGAACCATTTCAAACCTGGAAGAGCTAGACGCTGATGATGATTCTATCAACAGCGCCATGGTCCTTGATAAGGTTGTCGAATACTTTCACTACTGGTACCGCTACCGTAACAGCGAGGATGTTCCCGACATGGAGATTCCGGTCGAGCTCTGCCTCGAACTGTTGGCCGCGGCAGATTACCTGGGCCTGGACCAGTATGCAGCCCAGCCATGCATTGCTACAACCAATTGCTTCGATACTAATCTCATCCAGGGCGAATATGGGCATGAAGTGAGAAGCTAAGAAGCCATAACTCAGAGATGGGCGTGAACAGTATGCCCTAATTTCAGCACTTGATGACGGCGTTTTGGAGTTGGTATGGTAAGATTCAGTCGGTCTTATGCAGCTCTCTTCAGACCTTACAGTTTATTTTTCTTTTTTCTTTTTTTGCGAATGATGGTAATGGGCTTACACTAGAAACGATTGACACACGTCGAACCAGACCAGATCTAGTTCCTGATTCTGATGCCAACATGCCTAACTGTGACTTGTCACCATTTCAGCATATGCGTTCTTCTCTTCACTCCTCCGTGGGTCGAACGTCTATTAGAGATGGAAGATTGAAGTAACCCTCTCACTCTGCGTTACTCAGTTGACGCATTGAGCTTTCGCTTTTTCTGAAGGGCAACATTTCTTGATTGTAAAATTGTTTTAAGTGAGAGTTTTCAATGTCTGTCATCAATGCTCTGCACTTGATGCACTCTGGGAGTAATCCCGGAAGAAAGCAGGGGAGGATTAGTCTGTCCTACATAAGATTCACTTGCCTTGACGGATGCGGCATGAAAGACAAGGATGTGTGGACTCATGATCAAGCATTACCACTCAATGATCACTGCCCCAAGCAAAGACTCGTCCTTAATTCACGGACTCACATCAAGAGACTGGGTATCCTTGTGCTTGGTGGTTCTTCTGATATGTACATCTCAGCATGGTGGATACCCAGGACCAATTGGTAGCGCTGCCATGCCTCCAATAGAGAAAAAATGACTATTAAGCCTTAAGCTGATGTGATATAAACGGTTGTCTCATTTCAATATCTGAGTCATTGTTTTAGGCAGGAAAGCGTGGGACTAAATGATCCTTTGCTTGGTGTTATCGCTGTAAGCAGTTGCTTGCCCATAAAGGAAAGCAGCTTCTGTCTGTGAACCCACTCAGCCTCAACTTTCCATCTACAACTACAATTCCACGTCAACACAAAAAATGGCTGCAAACACATTCGAGACGCAGGGCGTCCGAGTTGCAGTAGAAGGATGTGTGAGTTCCCTCGAGCAATAGAAAAATCGAGATGGCATTAACAACATAAGGGCCATGGCACGTTAGATGCAATCTACGCCTCAGTGGAAGAGTCTTGTAAGCAACGTGGGTGGGATGCCGTTGATATTCTCATCATTGGAGGTGATTTTCAGGTATTTTCAGCTCACGTTCAGCTTCAATGCCCTTTCCATTAGTTTGCTCACACCGCGTCACAGTCCGTTCGAAATGCTGCAGATTTGAGCATCATGTCTTGCCCTGTCAAGTACCGACGCCTAGGAGATTTTCCCAGGTACTACTCTGGTGAACAAAAAGCACCCTATCTAACAATATTCATTGCTGGAAACCACGAAGCCAGTTCACATCTCTGGGAGCTTTATTATGGAGGCTGGGTAGCACCCAATATCTATTACATGGGTGCTGCCAATATCTTGCGCTTCGGCCCATTGCGCATCGCTGGATTGTCTGGTATCTGGAAGGGGTTTGACTATCGAAAGCCGCATCACGAGAGGCTTCCATTCAGCGGTGATGACGTTAAGTCGTGGTACCATATTCGAGAATTCGATGTCCGAAAAATGCTTCAAGTACGGACTCAGGTGGACATCGGCCTTAGCCACGACTGGCCACATGCAGTTGAGTGGCATGGGGATCATGCAGAGCTCTTCAAAAAGAAGCCTTTCTTTAAACAGGAGTCCATAGACGGTACCCTTGGTAACGTGGCAGCAGAGTATGTCATGGATCGCCTGCGACCTCCTTACTGGTTCTCAGCCCACATGCACGTCAAGTTCGCTGCAGTCAAGGTATACAAAGACGCCGAGCCTGTAACCCAGGAGAGCAAGGAATTTCTCGTTCCTGCTCCTGCCCCTACACCTGCCCCAGCTGCCGAGGTCAACCCTGACGAAATAGACTTGGATATGGATGACGATGATGACGAGGGTTCCAAGGTTGAACCTGTTGCAGAAGTCGAGAAGAGTGAGGCTGAGACGAAAGAAGCTCCAGAGGCATCAAATGAAGTGTCGGATGAGCTAAGAGCGCAGCTTCCAGCATCGTTTGCTCGGCCTCAACCAAAGAAAACACCAGGTCAGCCAGTACCTCCTGAGATCACGAACAAAGAGGTTCGATTTCTTGCCCTGGACAAGTGCGAAGGGCATAGACACTATCTACAATTGTGCGAGATTCAACCTTTCAAGCCAGAGACGAGTTCTGAGTATCCCCCGTCCCAAGAATCACCTCGCTGGAGGTTAAAATACGATCCAGAATGGCTCGCAATCACTCGCGTCTTCCATGACTCCTTGATTGTTGGTGACCGAAGTGTACAGGCGCCTCCTGATCTTGGAGAAGAGCATTATCTGCCCCTCATCGAAAGAGAGAGAGAATGGATCGAGGAAAATGTTGTCAAGGGTGGAAAGCTAGATGTCCCTTACAACTTTGAGATCACAGCACCGCCTCACGTACCAGGTGCTCCCGAGATTGTTAACGAGCAGCCAGAGGAGTACACCAGCCCTCAGACGGCGGCTTTCTGTGAACTTATGGGACTTGCAAATATATGGCATGCCACAGATGCAGAGAGGCGACAGAGGAAAGCACAGGGACCGCCCAAAACTGATCAACGATTCTCTGGTCGTGGCAGAGGTCGCGGGGGCGGGAGGGGCGGGAGGGGCGGGAGAGGACGAGGAAGCGGGCAAGGGAGAGGCCGTGGAGGAAGATGGTGATTGAAGTCAAGTTTATATAGATGAAGTGATGTAAATATTAGAGCACAGCCATTCCTAATCTAGTAGAACCGGCAATGGCTACGGCATATATTTAAAATACTCAATCTTAATTCAAATACATGCAAGCTGCCCTCGAAAGCGTCGTAATAATCATAGTTTGATCAGCCATGAAATTCAATCGTCAAATGCACGGGCTACACTGGCACTGGCATCAAGCTTCAGTGGCAGCTTCGGTAGGTAGGCGGGTGGTGGGGTTCGTTGGATGACCTGGCTCCGTAGCAACCAAACCAATCAGGAAATAGAGTAAACAGTGCAACTGTCCTACGCCATCGATAACGTACAACTCAACCTTACCTATTCCACCTTTGCCCTATCACCCTCAGCAATAAGGTTCAGCCGCAACCCCTTACCAAAACAATATACAAAAAGCACCATCCTAGCAGTTTACTACTCTGCAATATCGCATCTAATTATTCACGAGAAAGATTAGAGGTATCTGTCTCATTTTACCCAGCCTTGTTTGTCTCCCCTCACTATAACCCATGATTGATTGCCCCGCTAACCGCTGGAATGCAACAGCATCGCAACTCGACCTTTTGAGACCTCGTCGAAATCGCTGCTCACAATGGCTCAAGCCTTCTTAACTACCGTGTTAGTCTCTCTACGTTGTTCCCAAACACCTTAACCATGGAGTCTCCGTGTTCGCCGCCGCACACCGCCAGCATGTTTCGATACTTGAACCCGAAGTCGCTCCTGACGATGCAGCAGTTGGAAACGACCATTATACCCGTCTCCCTATCTGGAGAACCTCTGATGTTTGTGGAT